TAAAAGCTGTGTGCAGTGGCACATGCCTGTAACCCCAGGAACTCAGGAAGCTGAGGCAAGAGGATAGAGTTCAAAGCCAGCCTCAGGAGATTAGCAAGGCACTTAGCAACTCAGTGAGAGCTTGTCTCTAAATAAAATATTTTAAAAAGGGCTGGGGATGTGGCTCAGTGGCTAAGCACCCCTGGGTTCAAACCCCAGTATAAAAATTGTTCAACTCATAAAACTCATAAAAATTGTTCAACTTGGCTAGGCATCCTGGTGCATGCCTGTAATCCCAGCAACTCAGGAGGCTGAGGCAGGAGGATCTCAAGTTCAAAGCCAACCTCAGCAACTTAGTGAGGCCCTGACTTGAAATACAAAATCAAAAGGACTAGGGATCTGGCTCAGTGATTAAAAAACAAAAAAAAAAACAACTGTTCGACATTCTTATTGTGTTCACATGCACTAGCTCAGCTGCAATAATGGCTTCTTAATTGACCAGTCATTTTCTATTTCCATGTCCCTAATCTCATACTACCTATAGGCTGAAACTGAAGAGCATTACAGCAGATAGGTTCAGGCAACAAGTCGTCCTGGCATGGAGTTTGAGCTCAGAGGGATTCTTCACCAAAGGAAGCATTAAGCCCCTGAATGTGATCAATCCTTGTACACACCCCACTTCAGTGAGGAGCCAGGTACTTCCAGAAGCCCTGGGGTGCTCTTGTGACGACTTCACCACACTGCAGAGGAAACACAAGGTAGTCTTCTAGAAGACATTGCCAAAGGGTCTTAGAAACCAGAAAATCTGCCCTACCTATCTTATAGGTAGCTTAGCAAAGCCACCGTTGTAATGTGACTGACTCCTCATTATTTCAGGACACTTGCAACACTCCTGTCTCTAAAATATGTCCCTAACTTAGGTATTAGTGCTAAAATTCTCCATCTAAAAACCCATCAGTTATTTTACATTAGTGTTTATTTTTATTTCTTTAAATACATATGGTTCTAAAATCAAAATCTAAAATATCACAGCAAATATTTGACTTCACCCTTTAACGCCCCCGTCTCATTCCCCAACCACTTTCTACTCTTTTGCCCTTGCTTCTCTTCCCTACATACTTCTAGATGGCACAGGTACGCTACAGTTTTATGTGTGCTTGTAGATGTGCACATCTTGTTTTGGAGGTGAGAGCTGGCTCTCTCACGTCCTCTGACACTTTCCCTGACCCAGTGGGACCATAGATCTATCCCACTTGGGTTGACTGTGTGAATGTTGTTCATGCCATCACCTGTGTCCTTCTTATCAACGAAGACAATCCTTTGGAGGGAAATAGCACTTGCACCTGTGAATCAGCTGGGGTGTGAATCAAGAGTACTACCAGGGGTGGTATGGCAGGTGCTAGCTGGCATGAGGCTAGGGGCATGGACACTCTCCTGTCTGGGCCATCTGGGACTGGGCAGACCTGCTTCTCCATACCCAGTCATGTTGCTGGATTGGGAGATAGCTCCTCTGCATATAGCCTCTTGCCAGCTCTGTACCCATGGCCTAGTATGACGCCTGCAATATAGAGCATGCTTAATCACGGGAGGCCTTTCATTCTGTTCATTACCACTAACATCAGTGACTGAATGTGCATCATCTTTATTCAACAATTAGTGCACCACACTGCTAGAACTCTTGCTTCTTGATCTGGGAAAATAAAATGGGTCCCTCTTCTGCACATTAAGTAATCAGGTTCTGATTTTCCTTTCCTTCTCTCCCTAATGGTCTTTAATGCTTCAGTGCTCTCTTAGCACAAGGCATTTTCTCAAGTTCTAAAGCCCAGTGTTCTCGGGCTGCCTGAAGGGGAGCTGCTGTTCCCCGTCAGACCCGGCTTGCCTTTGGCCTTGTCTTGGCCCTTCTGAGGAGTGGGCTCCTCACCTGCATGGCATGCTCACCATGTTTGGGGGTTAAAATACTGAAGAAAAACCATGGGACTGAAGTCATTATCAAGCAAACCAAGATAGGTGTGATGTGACCCCCAGGAAGAACAGAGATAGATAAGGGGCATAGCGCTTATTTAAGAAAATTATGACAGAAAACTAACAAAATCTAGAGATGGAAATGTACATTCTGATCCATAAGTACTATAGAACCCCAAATAGACAAAATATCAAGTAACTTCCATCAAGACACATAATCAAATTCTTGAAAGTCAGAGGCTGAGACATTTTTGAAAGCAGCAAAAGAAAAGCAATTTGTTACACACAGGAAAGATTACATACATAAGATTATCAACATATTTCCTAGAAAAAACCTTACAGGCCAGGCAGGGGTAGGACGATATATAATTAAAATTCTGAAGGAGAAAGATCCTGCTGGTCAAGACCATTATCCTCAGCAAGAATGTTCTAGAGAAATGAAGATTTTCCAAGACAAAAGCTGTGGCAGTTTATCACCATGGGACCTATATTTTATCTCTTTTTTTGTTGTTGTTTGTTCTTCAATATAAAACATTTAATGTTTAAAAAAAAAAAAAAACTGTCAGGGCTGAGGTTGTAGCTCAGTGGTAGAGCACTCACCCAGCACAGATGAGGCCCTGGGTTTGATCTCAGTACCACATAAAAACAAGTGAGTAAAAATAAAAGTTGGGGCCTGGGTATCTAGCTCAGTTGGTAGAGTGTTTGCCTAGCATGCACAAGGCCCTGCGTTCTTAGTTTATGGTGATTGTTTCTTAACGGCAACCTCATGTACACCGTAAATGTATACAATTTTTATACGTTAGTTTTACCTCGGAAAAACTTTCAAAAAGCAAAAACTGACTCAATGATAAGGACCTCCCAGTGGTCTTGAGCTTGTATATACCTTTCAAGCATAAAACCTGACATGGTCATGGGGACACTCACACGTTTTCATTACCAAATATAAAATGTGTTATTTGGAAGTTTTGCACACGCCATCTCCTTTAAATATATTTTATATGCTGCTTACAATCACATAAAAGATTAATATAAAATTTGATGTTTATTAACATTTAATCTTTATTGGATCATAAGGTTAATATTTTCAGCCAATATTCTGCATGGGCCTTCAGTTCCCCTCTGGTTCCAGTGTGCCATGCAACTAGGGTCATTTTTTTTTTCTGAAGGAAGATGTGACAACCTCAGGACAACCTGTCCTGTGTCACATTGCATTCATGTGGTTAGCGAACATGGATGAGTGCCTTCTGACACAGGAGGGGACGCCAGGCATCTCCCCAGGCCCTTCTAGGGGCAGGAGAAAGGTTTTTGAGAAACTAATACCAATCCATGAGGTTTGCTCAGTGCTTCGACTGGGTGGAGGAGAAGCTGGCATCAGGAGGGCCAGGGCAGAAACATGAAAGTGTGAAAAGCCCATGCTTTGGGATCTGAAGAGCTGTCCTAGGGCTTTGAGCAAGACAAGAGTCAGCTGCAGAAGTGGTTTCAGGCCATCCGGGGTGTGGAATAGCTGGAGGGTTGTTAATTAGGTAGACAAGATCACATTTGGCTTTCAGGGGTCTTGCTTTTCGGTGCCTCCCAGTCCTGTGGCCAGCCTCACGTGACAGAGAAGCCCTGATCAGAGCCAGTGACCTGTGCCAGGAGTGGGGAGATGACTTGAAAGAGACATGAGAGTCAGGTTGGGCTGGTTTGGTGCCCACTAGGAATGGAGTAAGGAAGGAAAACTGGGAGAGAGAAAGAGACCTAGCCAAAGGGAGAGAGAAAACTGGAGCCCTGGGCTGCCTTCCTTGTGGGATATTGGCCAAGAGGCTCCTGAAGCTGGCTCAAGAGCAGCTATAAGCTGGGCACATTTTCTTCCTGAGTGCAGAAGTCTTCTTAAAAGCCTAAATACGCTACCCAACTCTGCAAACAGCAGGGGATAGCACAGCATTCCTCAAACAGAGCAAGTCCTGAGGGTATACTGTGCAGCCTCCTCCAGACAGGCCTCAGGAGACAGCCTCAGGGTGCCTGGGCAGGGCTTGGTGTGTCTGGATTTTACAGCCAGGCCTGGGATCAGGTGGCCGGCATCTTCCTGGAAAGTTTGCTTCCCGCCCCAGTTTGCTTTCCCAGGGAGGTCTCTGGGCTGGGCTTGGTTGCCATCCGTGTTGTACAGGGTTTCCCTAGGACATAATCAGACCCCCTACTCAGCTGTCCAGGGCCCCGTTTTGGCCAGAGGCAGGCGCAGTTTGGAGAACAGTCGTTCCGGGGATGAAATGGAAGCTTCTGCCAGGGCACCCCACCCATTGCTCTGCACGTGGGCTGCAAGTGTCACACTCCCAGGTGTGATCCATGTTAGTTCCACGTAGCCATTTCCGTGTGCCCGCTTTTACTCTGTGGGATGCTAATCTTCATGATCCGATGTGACTTATTGTGTCGCCATAAGACAATAGGAACAAAAGCCAGAAGGCCAAGAAAGACCCTCTTTAGTGCCCGGGCTCTGTGGGAGTCCGGTCCTTCCTCAGGAACTCGTCCCCGCTGTTGCCTAGAAGCCTAAGAGCGGCCCTAAGGACAAAGGGCCGGCGGTGCCGAGACCCGCCGGCGCTGGGGTCGGCGCGGGGTAGCCAACCCGTAAGTGCCGGTGCGCCCGGCGGCCGGGAGGGCGCGCGGCAGGTGTGGGGACGCGGGACGGCCGGGCAGCGCCACTCCGCGCGGGGGCGCCCCCGCCTGCGTCCCCAGGGCGGTCTGGGACCCTGCGCTCGGGGCCGGGGTCCCGGAGGGCGGGAGAGGGAGGAGCCGCGCGAACCCGCCGCGGCCCGGGCCGGCGCCCCGCGGCCGGGAAAGCGAAAGGGCGGCGGGGCCTCTGCGCGCCGCAGGAAGTCGCGAGCAGGAAGCGCCCGCGGCGGGCGGCGGGCGGTGCGGGGCGCGGGCCTCCCCGGAGCAGGTGGGAAGCGGCCGCGCAGGAGGCGCTGCGGCCCGACCCTCCCCGGCCGCACCTGCCGGCCGCCGCGCACCTGCGCCCGGGGCCGCGCTTCCGGCCGCGCGCTGCGGGCTAGGCTCTCGGCGCCTTCTTCCTAGAGGTTTGCTTTATTTGGAGGGCGGGGGGCGATCTCAAGCTCTTTTCGTTGCGGAAAGTCTTTGAAGTAAGGGATCTAGAAGAGTGTCCCTGGGCGACCATGCCAGGCGCCTGGTGCTTGGTGACGCTGCTATTCCGGGAAAGTGGAGGCAGAGGGCGCGGTCTTGGCCCGGCAGCCACTCGCTGAAGCCCCTGGCAGGGGTTCGCCAAGCTGTCCTGCCGGGTCCCTTGCCCATCCCCGCCGCCGCCGTGACAGTTGGGGGTCTAGGGAGCCGACTGGAGGAGACCCGCGCATTGTCTGCCGCGCGATGGGGACGTGGGCGTGCCGGCTGCCTTCACCTCCTCCCGGACCCGGCGATTGTATTGTGTGGGGAGGAGCCGGCCGAAAAGCCCTCGGGTAAGCTCGGAACCAGCACCTGGGCCTTCGGCTTGCCGGTCTGCTGAGCAGCTGGTTCCCGGAGCCCTGGAGCCTCCTGGCCAACCCGAGTGACAGCGACCTTCTGCTTATTATACAGGGCTTAAAACGCCAGAAAGTTCGCGGGCCGCTGGCCACCAACCTTCAGCCCTGGCGGCCCACGCCCTGAGCCCAGTTCGGGAGGAGGAGCTGTCTACGGATTTGCATTAGAATTTAGGATCCTGGAAGCCCCTTCCCCCACCCCCAGGTTTGAGTTGCTAGAGGAGGAATTCCGAAGCCTGCCTTTCCCTGCCTCCTGAGCTCACTGCCGGGAAGCTGCTGCCTGCGTGTCCTGGAACTTAAATTGTGTGAAGTTGTGAGTTGGTAAATATATTCGATTTCCCCCACTCTTTATTTATTCATCGCCTGGTATTCTCTATGCTAGAAAACCTAGGCTCTAAATGTCCTGTCCCAGCACCTGGTCTTGGGGCTGCACTTACAGCCCAAGTGAGGGATGTTCTGTATGCTGCCATTGGAGTAGAGGCGTCTCGTGGACAGAATTCAAATTCCTAGTTGTACTGGAGCCCAGGAAGAGTGATGGTGATCATTTCTTTAATGTTGACTAGACCCTTAAAGCTTGGAGAGTGCTTGCCCTGGAGAGGGAGTTTTGTATTCTATCTCTTGATTTTTTAAAAAAGAAAAATGCATTGAACTTTTTTGGGGGGATGCCTTGTTCCCCATTCATGTTTGCTCTTGCAATGAGACCCAATCTTAAAATTTTTTCAACTACGTAAATGATTTGAAATATCTGAGACTGTGGAGACTAAGTGTGACCATGTGACCATGCCCTGGAAAGACCCTTTCAACATTATTCTTGCTATTACTCACTTTCAGCCTCCTCATCTGTCTCAGCAAGAGACCCAGAGGGCAGCCTCTGAGGGGAGGGACTGTGGGGGGCTCTCAGGTGTGTATTTCCCTCTGCTCATCTATTTTGAGGAGTCTTTGACTAGGCTCTTTTGGAATAAGTCTAAGCCATGCTCCTTCTGGGTTTTAGTGGAAACAGTGTTGGGACGTTTGCTAAGTTGCTGTCTTGGACGGTGTGATGAAACTGCAATCAGATCCTTTTCTGGTAAATTCCAGGAAGAGTGATTTTTTAAAACTTTTGATGTATTTAGGCTGTGTGCCAAGACCAGAGTGCCACTCGCAATGTGCTCCCCTGCGGGGGCCCTCTGCAGGGCATGGGCAGGAGGAAGCACAGTGGAAGGAGGAGGTACCTAAGACAAACAGGGCAACCTGGAATTTGTCCCACAATATTGAGCCACCCGGGCGTGGTGCCTCCTTTCCTCGTTTTTTCTCCCTGTGAAGTGAATGCCCTGACTCTTCTTCCGGGTGGCCTTGGGCTCTGTGAGGGCATGTCACCTTCATGACCTCCTTGGTCCTGGAGCCGCCCATCCGGGAAACTGGGTTTCAGTGGGTGCTGCACAGGCCAGGGCCCTCCAGGTGTCAAATCCCTACTTGTCTACACCTCTAAGTGAGCTCACTGTGAGAATGTGTAGCACCCATCTCACAAGGGGAAGAACTCATAACAAGAAATCAAGGAGCTTCATTTTCCTGCCTATTTTTCAGTGCCTTCTGGTTCTCTGTTGTTAAAGACCCTACAGGCAGAGTTGAGGTATATTGCTGAATTGATGCAGTTGACAGTAGCGTATTTTCAGATATACATGCATATAGAAGCATTTGGTGGAGGAAGAATTTGACTCTGGCCATCCATTTCCAGGCACTGTACAGTTGAAACCAAATCCTTTACTATAAAGTCATCGTTATAAAATAGTTTCTCCCAGTCTCAAACAGGGGCGCACTCATTTTGAGCAAAATTTTAGCAAAATATCATTTCAATCTAAAGATTTGAACAAAAGCAGTTTTAAAGATTTGCAGTCATTCATTCAATGTGAGGTGTTTGTTTTGTTTTGAGATGTAGTCTTTCCATGGATGGTTGCTTAGGCTGGCACCGACTCCAGAGTAATGGGGATTACAGATACGCAACACCCTGCCTGGCTTCAGCATGAATCTGAGTGCTTATTTTGAGGTGGGAAATGGGAGCAGGGCCTTCACCTGCAACCCCCATCTTCTCTTGGGTCCAGCCCAAATCGCCCTGGCTGGTGATAATTGAGCATGGACTGCATACCACAGGCTCTGTGTCAAAGGCTTCTGGGGATTATCTTTTTGTTTTTTATAATGCTGTAGGAGTGGCAGGCCATCAGCCCCATTTTGGGGTGGAGAAGGTAAGAGAGCAGAAAGTTAAAAGACTGGCTGGGTTCATGCAGCCCCAGGGCAGTGGTGGCAACGGGAAGGTTTCCTGGTGTGATGAATGAGTCATACCTGCTAAGGTCCTTGGCAGCCCTGGGGAAAGGTGCAGCTCTCCTAGGCAGAAGGGAGAGGGCCTCACCAATGTCAGGAGGGGAGACAGGGGAGTGGGACTTCTGGATGAATGGTCTGCAAAGAATTTGAATCCTTTTGTAAAATGTGATAAAGAAAAATCGAGGAATGTGTGATTCTTTGGTTGTCTGCTGTGCTGGGGACTGAGCTATCACTGAGTCATATCCCCAGCCTAGAATGTGCATTTTTAAAAAAATGTTTTTAGTTGTAAATGGACACAATACCTTTATTTTTTTTTATTTACTTTTATGTGGTGCTGGGGATTGAACCCAGGGCCTCACACATGCTAAGCAAGTGCTCTAGCACTGAGCCCCAGCCACAGCCCTAGGATGAGCATTTTTTGAAAGCTTGCTCTGGAGGAAAGGAGAGGGTGAATGTGGGGAACTGTCCTGTTTTGGAAGACGGAGTGACAGCACTACAAGCCTGGAGCTTGGCTTTGCCACAGGAGACCAGTCTTGGTGGCCGGGCCTCTTATCCACTCACGGGCCTCCCCCATCCCTTCCTGTATTGTTTTCCTTCAGCTCCACCTTCAGAGGGGGACAGCTTTCCAGCCTCACTTAATGCAGAGGTAGAGTTCATGGGGTGGAGTTCACAACCACCACACTCATGCGCTTTGATTGAAATTACAAAGCCACAGTTAAGTGATTGATCAGCTCTGCCATTTTGTCCAGCCCACGGTCTTCTCTGTCTCCATGGCTCAAAGGTGGCCTTGTCCACAGTGGATGGAACTGAGCAAGTCTTGTGCCCTGCCGTACTCTGAAAATGGGGCACATGATGGAACCAGTGGGCACACACGGGGTTTCTTGTGATCGTCGTGGTTGGCCTGCATGGTGTGCTGGCTGAGAGTGCAGGGTTGACCTCCAGCAGAGTTGCAGATGGAGTGTGCACTACAGTTCCTTTTTGTCCACCATGAGAGCATCTTGTGAAATTCATTTCCATGGGCTTTGCACACACCGCCTCTTCGGGTGCTCTATTTCCAGCCAGTAGCCCTCAGCGTGGGACTTCCTCTTTTTTTTTCCTTTTTTGGTACCAGGGACTGAACTCGGGGGCACCCGACCACTGAGCCACATCCCCAGCCCTATTTTGTATTTATTTAGAGACAGGGTCTCACTGAGTTGCTTAGGGCCTCACTAAATTGCTAAGGCTGGCTTTGAACTCACGATCCTCCTGTCTCAGCCTCCCAAACCGCTGGGATGACTGGCGTGCCCAGCTTGGGAATTCCCCTTGTACCCAAAGTCCAGCTGTAATCCGGACTGGGTAGCACTGCCTGTGTGGTCGCTGTCTGTGTGGTCACCCAGGTGCCATGGTCAGAACCCCAGACTTGAACACCTCTTGCTCTCTCCTCAGAGTGCCACCCCCCTCTGGAGAGAAGCAGGGAGGAGACCCAGGACCCCGGGCACCCTGCACCTCAGCTTCCAGGCTGGGTGGGTGAAGACAGGGTCTGCAGCCAGGATCTACGGCATCTTCTTCTGTGACCAAAGCTCCAAGGTCAGGGACTCTGTAAATGGCTCGACTCCCTGCCGGCATCCGCTTCATCGTCTCCTTCTCCAGGGATCAGTGGTGAGTCCTGCTGGGTTCACGTGACACAGTGCGAGTGTGGGTGGGGGCCTCCGGTGGTGGGTGACTTTGTTCCATGTTAGAGCGCGGGTGACTGGTCTCCTCTTTAGCGGTTGAGTTGCTGCTGGCCATGGAAGCAGTGGCCCAGAGCCCTGAGAGGCATCCTCCGCCTTTGGTACTGGTGTCAACAGATGGCATTGGGCTCCTTGGCAGTCTTCAATGTTTCTTTAACATCTCGGTCCCTATAGAAAATAGCCACTGACAACCAGCAAGACTGTGAAATGGCAATGGGTGGACTGAGCACAGCGACCCCGAGCCCAGAAGGGTGGGCTGGCTGGGGCCGAGCTTTCAGAGAACACAGATCCAGTGCCACTCTCTGTTCCCAGAGCATCCCCCTTGCCAGCTCTGAGGCCGCTCCTCACAGTGGCTCCCAGGAAGCAGGTGGCAGGGCGGAGTCGGCTGTTGTCTGTCCTCCAGCCTCCCCTGCCAGCCTCCCCTGCAGATCCATGTCCAGAGGAAGAACTATCAGTCTCCTACCTTTTTACCATGAGTGCTGGGGGCTAACAAGGACAGATGAACGAGAGAGGGGACAGAATCAGTGGAGGAGAGGTTATAGGAAAGTGTGCTCAGAGGGGCATTTAAGGGGGGCTTATTATCATCTTACATAAGGGAAGGGGGAGGGGAGGCACAGATGAGAAAACAAATGGTTTTATGGAAAGATAAGTGGGCCACTGAGAGAGCCAGGGCAGGTGGGTGGGCATGCCTGCTTCCGGTGGGGGAGGCTGCTCTTCTGTGGTGAGCATTGACCTTCCCTGCCACTCCCTGGGGAGGGCTTGCTACAATGGAGTTCTTCTGCGTTGGTTTGGGAGACTCTGCTTTTAGCAAATAAGAGATTTCAGGAGCTCAACTATCTTCTGCTCAAAATGATGCTCCTCACCGCGGCCTGTTCTGGACCTGTTCTCCCACACCCTCTGCAGTGTCCCAGGCCCTGCTGGTGGGTGGAGCAGCCGCAGACTCTCTCACGTGTGATTTAAAATACCTGGGGGTCACTTCCCTGGCTGACTTATTTTATATCTACTGGGACTCGAGCCACCATCTTCAAATACTTAGTGTTTAGCTTCTTTGTTTTGTAACTTTGCATTGATGTAATTTCAAACCCCCAGAACTTACATTCTTTGAATTCTAAGTTGCATTCTTACAACATTCTAAGAATGTTACAAAGAACTATAGGACTCATATGGATCCCAGATGTTGCCATTTGGCTTCTTCCCTGTGTCAGTGCAGGCAGAGGTAGATAGGGTGTCACACACACTGCATGTTCTAGCCCTCTTAAGAGTTGCAGAGATCAGACCCTTGTTTCTAAATATTTCCATGTTTACTTCCAATGAGCAATATGTTTTCTTGGGCTGGGGTGCAGCTCAGTAGGCGGCCACTTGCCTAGCTTGTGCAAGGGTGCAAGGCCCTGGGTTCTGTCCCCAGGACTGAAAAAGAAAATAAAAGAAAAAGAAATTCTCTTATATAACCTCAGCATGAAGAGCAAAATTGGGAATTGTAGCAGCTATAAAATAACATTATCCAATTCACAGTCCACATGAAACACAATATCAGTAACGCCTTTGCTACTTCTCCCCTCCGGCTCCCACCGGGATCACACCCGTGTTTAGTTGTCCTGTGGGTTTCATCTCCTTTTCTCTGGAACCATCCCTTGGCCTTTTCTCTTTTTGCGACCCAGATGCTCTTGAAGGGCTCAGACCATTTATTTTGTGGCCCATTCCTCGTTTTGGACATGTCTGGTGTTTCCTCAGGGTCAGACTCAGATGAGGCGTTTGGGGCAGAAATCCCACAGAGGGGAGCAGCTTTCTTGCTGGTGGAGAAGGAGCCCTAAGATGGGGTCAGGAGCTGGAGTGGATGAGGGGATATGGATTGGCACCCGGGCCCAGGGTGGACTCCTGGAGGTAGATGGGTACAGGAGTAGATGGATGTATTCTATGGGGCATGTGGTCTCAAGGACACTCCTGGGGGTGCCTGGAGGTGCACCTCTGTCCTGGGTTGGCATGGTTTTGCTTGCTAGAAACTTGGGGTTAACCCAGACATCGCTGTAGTTCTGTTGAAATGCTGTCATCAGGATGGCCGAGAAGGGGGCTGGGTGTGAGGAGCACGGGGTGCATTCACTCTTCGTCATGTTTGCCTTAGTCTAAATATGATCCAAAACAAAGTAAAAAGATGGCCTTTACCTAAAGCCACAGAAGGTCCTCTCTAGAGTCCTGGAGGCCTGCTGCAAAGTCGGGGTGTCAGGAGGCCCTCCCTGCCCCCTCCAGCTCCCAGCATTCCTGGCAGGCAGCCACTGTCCCCCTGTGTGGCCACCCGGCCTCCTCCCCATCTCCTTTCTTTTGAGGACACCAGTCACGGGATGTGGAGCCCACCCTCATCTGTGTGACCTCACCTAAGCTGAGTACATCTTCAGAGACCCTAGCTCTGAATAAGGTGGCATTCCAAGTTGTGAGATGACGTGAATTTTTGAAGGACACTATTTAGTTCCACAAAGAATGGATAAAAGGAAATAAACAGCATTTCAAACTCTTCATACATTATTTTAAAAACTGAAGATAAAATACAAAATGCAGAAGGGCTTCAGGAGGTCACTGGGACTTCGGTCACATTGCCCTGGGTTAGTCTCATGTGTGCTCCCCTGAGACCGGCCATATCCAGATGGCACCCGAAGAACCATCCTGAGCCTCTGCTGCAGTCACACCTTCTTGAAGGAGAAACCAAACCTCTGGCACTGCTTCCTCCCACTCCCCAAATCCTGCGGAGGACAGGGAGGAGGGGCGTATCTGGAAATGGAGGAAGTGGGGCGGCCAGACCAGCCGTGAAGCCAGGGTTTCCTCCGCAGTCTCTAGGGAATCCCACCTGCCCTGCAGTTGACCCTCCACGGACCCCTGGGGCCGTTCATCCGGGGCTTCATTTCTACACCATAGAACCTGGTTTCCGAGGTGGGGTTGCTTCCCTGTGTGGAGAGCTCTGTGTTTAGGGGGCAGGGAGGCCCCTCCTGGGGGGCACCTCAGCCTGCATACCACCTGCAGAAGGATTAGAGAAGCAGGGCAGGGACAGAGCTGGTCCCAGGTCTCATCCCGGACAGCCCTAGAGGCCAAGAACGCAGTGCATGCTGGGGCTGGGCACTCTCCAGCCATCACCCCATCGAGGGGTGAGGGTGTTATTTCCAGGGTGCGGGTAGTGGATGGAGGGCCTGAACCTGCAGCCCACCTGCTGGGTCAAGCGGCCTTGTCAGTCTGTAGCCTGTGAGTTCACGGTCAGGTTGCACAGCTCTGAGGTCCAGCGCTCCCACCACGCGCTCCAGGGAGAAGCTGTGCTTTCTCCTCCTGCACTGGCTTGCCAGGTGTTGGAGGAACTGAGAACTCTGTTTGTGCTTCTTGCAGAGATTTGAAAGGGGGTGGGGCAGGGACACCTTAGGCCACACTTGCCCTGCTCACTTTAGAGAAGTGGGGAGGTGCGGGGCTCACAGGCCAGCTGTGGGCTGAAGCAGGTCTGGTCTGGTAGCTCCAGTGCTGGAACCTCCCCATGTGGTAGCTGAGGCACACATGGCAGTGCGGCAGTGCATGTGGAGCAGTTTCAGCCAGAGACTTCCGTGCTCTGCCCCAGGGGTGGCGGTCAGGCAGGAGGACAAAGACCAGACTTCTGCCGTGCGTCCCTGCACTGTAGGCACGGCTCTTGTGCTTTGGGCTTCAGTGTAAACCACGCACTCATTTTTTAGAGTCTACTTTCTTCTCATCTGGTCATTGACGGGCTTGTGGGGGAGAATCCTTGAGAAACCGTTGGTGTGTTTCCTTGAGGAAGGAGAGCTGTGGGGCACCTCTCCAGTCAGCAGCCTGTGCCTGGCTAGTCAGTTTGGTTTTCTCCTTTCCCCGAGACCGTGTTTCCGAGGCTACAGGGGAGAGTCCCAAGGTCCCACCAGCCATTTTCCCACCTGACATGGGTCTTCATTATTATTTTTTAATCGGGAAACCCTTATCTGACTTCTGATTTTTCTGGTAGCCAGAGGGGCAGGTACCCCTCAAATTCTAATCCTGGGTGTGATTCACAGAAAGCTTCCCTGGAGGAGCAAGTCACACATTGCAAACACGGTGAGTGGCGGGAATAATGATGCCACCATCCCCGTGGTCAGGGACGGGCAGGAATGAGGTCATTGTTGATTCTGATGGTTGCCACACGATTTGAAGCCATTGGCTTTTCTGGGCCAGAGGCAGGACAGGTCTCAAGGTGGACAGTGCCTGACACCACAGCAGCAGCTTCCTGGTCGGAGCCCCTTTGCCTCACCTCCTGTCAAATGCTGTTCCTCCCGCCATTCCCTCCCTAGCAAGTCGTTTTCTGGGTGGGTTCAGTCTGTGGACTGGACTCAACCTCCGCCTCTTATTGCACTTCCTTTCCTCCTTCTGTCCCCCACGCTGCCCAGGCCTGCCCTTGCCCCTTGCTCCTGGCCGTGGCTATGTGCCAGTGTCTTTCTGTCATGGGCCTCCTTCAGCGCTGGCTGGCGTTGCTGCCTCTCCCTCCTGAAGGTCAGTCAAGTGTCCTGTCGGCCTTGCCCATGTGCCTCTGGAGTTCAGAGACTAAACAGCCTTAAAATGAGCATGATCTGAAGTGCCCGGGACAGCAGGCTACACAAAGACCTTCTAGCTAACTATTTGTTGTAAACTAACTTCTAGCTAACTATTTGTTGTAAAATAATGAAGCAGCCTTTGTGTCTGCTCTGCAAATACTCTGTACTTCATCTGAGTCCCAAATTTCTCTTTAGTTACAGTTTTTTTTTAATTGACAAATGTGGTATTTTGATCTAATAATAAATAGGTATTTGGCCTCTGCCCCTGATCCGTGGCATACAGCTCCAGAACCCTGAAACGATGTCTTCTTGTGTGCTAGTGAGGGGACAGGTTGCCAAGGGGACAACTATGTGATTAGAGGGTTGAAACTTGGATCACAACCCCTGCGGGAGGAGAGAGGCTGAGGTCACTTGATCGCCAGCGGCAGTGATGTAATCGGCCATGACCATCAAAGCCTCCAGGTGGCTGGACATGGGGCTGCAGGGTGGTGTGGGCATGGAACCTCGCCCTCTCCTGCCCCTATGCTGCATCTGTTCCAGTGGCCTCCCTTGTAATAGCTTCATGACAAACCGGCAGAGGCTCGCAAAGTGCTGCTGTGATACCTGAACCTGAGGGGAGGTGGTGGTAACGTGGACTTATGACCAGTTGGTCACAACCTGGGACTTGTTGACCTCTGAAGCTGGGGCCGTCTTCTGCCACGGAGCCCTCGGCCTGTGGGACCCAAGGACCCCTGCAGGCAGGCAGGGTCAGCAGGAGTTGGAGTGCAGTGCAGAAGCCCCCCTTGGTGTCCACTGAGAACCGCTCGATGCAGGGACAGCTCCATGTCTGCTGTCCGGAGTGGCGTGGGCGTGGGCGGGTGGGGGTAAGGGTGGGAAAAGCCGGTTTCTCCTCTTATGACATTTAAATGGTTTCAGTTCAGACAAGTGGCCTGGCCGGGCAGATTTGTTTTAGGTGGTGCTGTTGTGGTGATGCGTGAGCAGGGCCAACGGCTGATCCCGGGCAGGAGGCATGCAGGGCCGGCTCCCCCAGCCATCTCACACGCCTCCTCCTCCCCCTGTGCTCTGTTCCAGGTACAGGGCCTTCATTTTCGTCCTGACATTTCTGCTGTACGCCAGTTTCCACTTATCCCGAAAGCCCATCAGCATAGTGAAGGTAAGAAACGACCCAGATCACTCCATTTCATATCCTGCCTAAGCTCTCCATGGGGAACCAGCTATTCAGGAAGTTTGAGGGAGGTGAGGCGTGCGGTGGGCAGGGAGAAAAGAAATGGTTCCAAATAGGTTTTTTGCTGCGTTTTTGGTTTTTTGCCCCTACATTCCCTTTTCAGAAATTTAGACCTTTAAAATGTTTCTAGGCTTTATAATTTTAGAGTTATTATGCTTGTATAAGTTAGCAGTTCCAGAATTTTCTAGATTATTTAAATATTTACTTTATCTTATGCAAATTTTCTTTCTAAGTACATCCAGTTCTAAGTGGTTTCCCAAATTGCTTCAGCCTCCCACAGAGGTGGTTCTCTGTGACTCTCCGACCCTGTGTGAGGGACGGGCGGGAAGTTGTTGAACAGGTATCCCAGTAGATCTGAGGAAGACCAAAGCAGACATTCCTCCATAATGACCGGTCCCTCCTCCTGCCCACGGACCCTCTGCAGGCTTGGATGGCCTTTGACTCTTGCTGTAGAAGGAGCCAGGAAACTGCCTTGGCAACAGCCCATGTGCAGCTCAAAGGCCCTTCGCTTACCTTCCCGCAGCTGCAGGCACCAGGTTCAGGACTGTGACCCTGCGACCTCGCAGCCAGCTTCCTCCCCTCCCACAGGGCCAGGCAGACAGCTGCCCTGCAAGTCCTCTGGGCAGTGGGAGGCAGCACCGAGGCCTCTACTTCTGTGACAGGTCTGCATCCCTCCCCAGTGCCTTTGCCTAGATGTCAGGCGCTCAGTGACTCAAAACCTTCTCCAACTCCCCCAGACCCTTGGGAGCCAGGAGTTTCTGCACCCGTCTAGTTACTGACTGGGGATATTCGCAGATCTGTAAGCACATGGTTTTCAGGAGACCTAGAGATTAGAAAAGAGGCGATGGCCTTAGTAAATTCTCACCTCAGCAGCAACAGGCCCTGGAAGTTTGAATGCTGCTACTTCTTGTCCTTTTGGTTAGGGAAATTCATGGACAGCTCAAGAAAATAGCAAATTACAAAAATGGAAGAGACCGCTGCAGAGGGAGTGAGCATGCGGAGCTGGAAGGCACCGTCAAGGGGCCCTTGTAGGGCTTCGAGATTGACCTGGGAAGGTCTGGGTGGATCGTGGGGGAGCGACCGCCTCCAGTACCAGATGGAGGGATGCAGCATCACCATGAGGCCACCCACCTCACGGGCATGTAAGGCAGGGCTGGCCAGTGGAGGGCCCCAAGGTCAGGAAGTGGCCCTTGGACCCCATCTGATGACCACCAGCATCCCTGTCTGGCCAGGAAGGGATGTGAGCATGGTTTATGTCCACTCTGCCAGCTCCTGTCAGGACCCCACCCTGACTCTGGTGTGCAGGAGTGTCCCCTCCTAGGCTCCTAGGGCTTACTGAGGAGGGGTCTTGTGTTAGGTTCTCAGGTCAGTATTTCATAAGGAGCAATAACTGCAGCGGAGGGCCCCCCTGCTGTGACAGGGTGCTCACGTGCTTTGTTCATGGTCCTCACAGCAATCCTGTGAGAATCCTTCCCAGGAAGCCAGGCCTCCCTGCAGGGCTGGGGCTCACTCGGGCAACACTGGTGGCTGCCCTGACTCCGGGTCCCTCTTTAATCACTCTGCCTCGGGGTCTCCAGGACATTTAATCACCTGAGTATGGTCAGTGTCTCAGCCAGATTTTCTTTAACACCCAGAATTTCTGATTTGGCACCACGGGGCTGCCTGGGTATGGATTGGCCGTATGCTGAATCTTATGGGCTTCTTTGCCTTTTAAGATAGATAAAAATACACTCCCCACATGGTAACTCGGACTTTACGCTCCTTGTGAAGTTTCACAGGCTTTAGCTCATGTTATAAATAACAGCAGAGAAGCTGCAAGCAGTAAGGATTCTTTTGACCCAAGGATCAGTTTGTATAATTACCTATAGCTTGCATTTCTAGAGTTGTTATGAACAAAACTTACCTGCTTACTTGAAATTGGTCAGCAGGGCTTGTAACTGATAAAGTGATTCATGGTTTATAACTCATTTACAGAATAACATGGCCTCTCAGGCCAGGTTTAGACTTGACTTTAATCACTGCTGATTAAGTTTATTTATCTCTGATTAAAAACTGTATATATAAAAATGATGACATGAGCAGGGCTCGGAACGTGGTGGTGTCACACACAACCCTTGTCCCTTTTCCTGCTGCTCCATCCGCATCCTGCCTTGTGATTTGAGGCAGGTGTCCACCCAGGCTGCTAGGGAGGTGAGGTCTGCCAGCGGAGACCTTTGGGGGACCCTTTTCCCCAAGGCCTGGCAGGGAGCTTCTTAGCTAAGATGCTGGTCCCTGGACAAAGGCAGAAATGGGGACATTGCTTAGAGTGTGCCCAACCCTCTCCACCTACACAAGAGCTGTGAGAAGAAAACTTTAAAATATTCAGAGTCAGACGGACAGCAGGAGGTCTGAAAAGTCAGAAGCCCCACCATGACTTTGGGCATAAACTCACTCTCTAGCACCCTGAGCTCCCTGGGTCTCCCTGGGTTGACGTTTGAGCAGAAGGCCGTCCAAGGGACGTTTCAGCAGGGATTTTTTTAATTGAATAAAATCTTAAAGTTTAAAGGATTGTAGGAAATCATCACTAAAGAAACTGTGGAAAAGATAACATGTTTTGTTGAAATGAAAATGTGAAAAAGCTTAACGTGTTTTTAAATATCAGCTGAGTTATTAAGATATTGCATGAAAATAGACAAAATGGTCCACAAAATAGAGAATATGGCGTATTTGAAGGTGATGAGAAAAGCGTAGGTGTTTACGTACCTGGTTTGGGTGTGGGGATGGAAGCCAGGCCCCCGTGCTGGATCTGCACACACTCCCCCCAGCCCCACGCCTGCTCAGCGTAGCTTACTTAGTGCTGGTGTTGGCACAACTGGGTATTCATCTACAGGACAAAAAGTTCACTCCCTATCTTGATAATAATTATAACTAATAATAATAAATGGGTGATCACATATTTAAATGTAATAAATACAAAACAAAAATCCAAGAACAAGACTGCGTGTCTTAGGAGTATGAAGTTAGGAAACCCAGAGGAACAGTGGACGAGGGGGATGAGCAGGCAGTTCACAGGCCCGGAATCCACACTCCAAGAGATGCGTGAACCACATTCAAGTTTGTTAGAATTCACAGATGCAGGTTCAGGTCACACAGATGGCTTTCTGAGCTCAGCCGGCACACTGGGAGCCTTCCCCTGTCGGTGGTGGTGTGTGGAAAAACTCCAGTCGTCAGGGTGTTTGGACAGTATTCTGGGAACACCTACTGAAAGCCCCGGTACAGCTGCCTGATCCTGGGCCCTGTCAAGGGCCAGTGACGCAGAGAGGTGCTGTCTGTCCATGACCCGTCTTTACAGCAGCCCTGGGACTCAGACACTGTCATGCCAGCTCCAGAGCTGGGAGTGCAGCTGCGGTCGCCCAGGGCAGGACAGGCACAGTGGTCCACAGCGGCTGCCTGTCTGCAGACGAAGCCTGTGCCCCTGACCAGATGTCCGGCCATGCTCCTCAGGTGACAGCGCCAGGAAGCTTTTTCTGCTGGCGTGTGAATAAATAGATCACTTCTACCCTGTTGTATTTTCTGGGGGTGGTCCTCCCCAGAACGTTACATGATGAAGGAGTGAAAATGGTGTACCAGGCGGTGGTCTGCAGAATCCCATTTTCTTGCTTCTGCCTAAGGCTGCGTCAGACACCTCAGGTTAGCCCTGCAGACAGTTCCCCTTGTCCTGGCAGTGTGCCCTTCTGTCCTTTTGTCAGGGAGCTGGACAGGAGAGCCTGCAGGCTGTGACGAGGTGGGCTTCTCAGCTGCTGTAAGAAGAGGCTGGGGAGGGTGGCAGGGACACCCGACTTCTGGAGGAGCAGAGAGCATATGAATCAGGGGAGGGGCAGGGAAAGGAAGGCACAGGAACCCTCAGGTCGCTCCTGATCCCGATCCCTGGGTGGGGCAGGTGGCCCAGGGGGAAGCAGGCAGGTGATAGCGTGGATTAGCCGGACGGGGAGGCCGGTGCGGCCCAGGAAAGCTGTTTGGAGGTGAGGACATTGCGTGTGTGAAGCGGAGCTCTGGGCTGGTTTTAGGGCAGTGTTTAAGTGACGGGCAGCCCGGTGGTGATGGCGGAGCATGTTACCCAGAGCAGCCGTGTGCATGGACCCTGCCAGGGCTCAGTCACTGGTACCCAGGTAAGCAGGCTGTGGACCTGGTGTCCACCCTGGCTGGCCATGGCGGGCAAGGGCTGCCTTTCAGAGGGGACTGCTCCCTCCTGAAGGAGGTGGACAGGACTTCTGGCTGCCACCTACTGGTGACCAGAGTGGCCCCTTGCCCTCTGCGGTGCCCCATGGTGAAGCCAGCTTTCCATGCCATGTCAGCCCTGCCTCTCAGGCTCCAGCTTACTGAGGTCCCCCCGAGGGACACTTCCCTGACCACAAGGACCCCTCCTTCCTGCCCTTGCTCACACCTGGTGGACTGGTTCATCTGAGCTCTTATTAAAGAAGCCGCAGGACAGGAGAGAGTGCGGAGGCCACCCGGGAGGGGCCACCATGTGACAGAGCAAGTTGCTTGTTCCTCAGTTTCCCCACAACCAGGTGGCCCCAGCTGTGACAGTTGTTCTAGGGAATGTGGCAGGAAGCCCCTGCCCGCGTCCCCTCTCTGCCTCCTGACCACAACTTGCCTGTCCCCGTGTCTGCAGCCCGAGTGCTGTGCTAAGCCGTGGTGCTCACCATCACCATCCCGGTGACTGTTGTGCAAGTGAGCAGCGGCCTGACTGCACTGGGGGACGCTGAAGCAGGACAGTGAGTGACCTGCTCCCCCGTCAGTCATTTGGCAAGCTCCCTACCTCGCCCTTCTTCGCCCCAGGGTTGCTTGCTGGTCTTGATGACCCCGTGGTGGACTGGTGGCCTCCTAACCCAGGCATGATTTTAAAACTGGGGTATGATTTGTCCATAGTAAACTACACAGGTGTTGGGTGTCTGGCTGACAAACCTTGGCCTGCATCTGGGTGTCCAGCACCCAGGTCAGGGATCCGGCCCCGTCCAGCTCCCTGAAGGCCCCCTGTCTCTGTCTCCTTGACCCTCCTCTGGGAACCACAAGTCTCACAGCCAGCCCTGTGCACTCATCTGCCTTTTCTTCATAGAGATGGAATCATTCAGAGGGAGCTTCTTAATATCGTGTTTGTGAGCCTCGTCCTCACTGTGGCACGGCCTGGGGCGTGTTCTTCTTTCTTGTGGTTGTACAGTTGTCTGCATCCGACAAAACGGACCTGCTGCTTCCCTCGTGGGCAGTGAAGGGAATGGCAGGCCATCCTCGGCCTCGACCCCGAGGACACCCGCCTCTTGGTGGCTGTGTGAATGCTCGTTAGTTACACGTGGGTGTAGGAGTGGGACTGCTGGTGAGCGTCCCCACAGCGGCTCCCGAGGCCCTTGCGGACCCCTCCCCAGTGGGCCTCATTTCTGCCTGAGGAGGCAGTTGCCCTAGGACGAGGGACAGCCCAGGCCGAGCCTCTCAGGACACTAGTCCTGCTCTGTGCTGCCTTCCTCCCTAGGGTGAGCTGCATAAGCACTGTGCTGGGGGTGAGGCTGAGCCCAGCTTCAGTGGCCAGAGCAGCAGCGCCGGCCACAGGCCCCCTCGCCAGCTCCCGGACAACGAGACTGACTGCGGCTGGGCCCCGTTTGGTGAGTTGAGCGTCAGCCCACCCGGTATCCAGGTACCCCTGGGCCTGTCCTGTCGCAGCTCTCCGGCCTTGCTGATTTGAATGCTGTTCTCAGGCGTGAGGGTGTGTCCATGCCAGCCCAGTCCTGGCAAACAGCAGCCATCACAGTGTGGCCACCACGTCTGTGGTGACAGCACTTGCCACCCTGATACAGTTCTCCAGTGCTCAGGAAACCTAAAGATCTTTTATATTTTGCATTTGTCCCACTTGGAAGTGAGGGCCTGCAGGGCATCCATCTTTGGGTGGGAAGAAGAGAGAGAGGACCTGGTGTGGGAGGCTGAGGTCAAGCCAGGGACATTCAAACACCAGGTGACCTGACACCTGCGCCCGGGAACAGGGGGGATCGTGTCTGAACCAGAAGGTGCATATTTAGGGATAACTTGAAAATATGACACTTGATTTTTCTTTGCAAAAAAATTGAACAAAATTTGGGCTACCAAGCTTTCTGTGTTCAGAACCAGCCCTCCTACTTCCTGAGCACCCCCGGATTTGGATTTCGAGAACAGTTGTTTTGTATTTTGTAGCACTGCTCCAGAACTAAACTAAGCTATGCTGAGCATTTCCTGTTGATTTTCCAATCTGTGTAGATAAGAACAACTATCAGCAGCTGCTCGGGGCCCTGGACTACTCCTTCCTGTGCGCCTATGCTACTGGGATGTACCTGAGGTAGGTCTGCTTGAGTTTCCGGATGCATCCCCGGTATGGAAACGTTCCCAGGGCATGGAAGTACACAGGAGTGGGAGGCACAGGGCCCTGCACACAGTGGCTTCCCTCCTGATATCTCCCTAAGGCAAGGATGAGTCAAAAGCAAGTGTCCAGCACTGTGTCCACAAGGTGGGACCTCAGAGCAGTGTCCCAGGATTTCCATCAACTGGACACAGGCTGCCCTCAGCTCTCCTGGACCTGGTGGTCAGAACGTACTGTGAATCCTGCCAGTCCTGGGCTGTGGTCACAGAGCAAGGGACACTGGAGGTCCCATGGGATGCTTGGCAGAGTGCATCCTCTCAGAGGTTTCCGTGGCTGCCCTCTGTGCACAGACCAAGTGACTCTCTGGTTGGGACGGCTGAGGCAGCTTGTGTGGACACCTCCCCTGGTGCCCAGTTTGGCCCCAAACAGAATCAGAGCCCAGGGGCAGCACCACATTCAGCTGCAGCTGGAGTGGGGACAGGGCTTGGAGATGAGCCCCTGCTTCACCACCTGCCACAGTGTGGCCTTGGGCAAGTGACCGCACCTTTGGGGGCCTTAGTTTCTCCTTTAAAACTGGGGGAGATCATAGTTCTTGCATTATAATTGGTGAGGATGAAGCGGGTAGACCCCTGGGGCTCAGAACAGTGCAGGGCCGTGAGGGCCTGGCCCTAGGTAGGGACTAGGTGCCCCGCAGGTGCAGGCTGTGGCTGGCTGACCTAAGCTATTCCATTAGTCCAGCGGGGGCTGGTGGGGCACATAGCAGGCACTAAGGTGTTGGAGCCAAGAGGCTGTTGTCCACGGCAGATCTTCAGAGCTCTGAGAACCTCAGGGAAGCCTGTAAACGTTTAGCTCCTTCCATGTGGCCCCCCCTAGAGCCTGGGATCAAGACCCAGGCCCCTCCTGGCTCAGCCCTGTGGTGGCCAGTGCCCCGGTGAGCACCTTCGCAGCCCCTGTCTGCGATGTCCCCATGCTCAGCGCTGTAGCGCGCTTTGAACAGCAAACAGTAAGGATTCAGAAGCCCAGCATGCAGTGCGGCAGGACAGGGGCAGCCGGAGGGCAGGGTGGTGTGGCCTTGGGCCTGCTCGGGGCCTGAGCTGGCCAGACACCCTCAGAGGTCAGATGTGTTCATGTTATGAAGACTGCAGTTATGCTGGATTCAAACCATCTGTAGTTCTAAAGACCCAAGGCCAGAGTGCTTTTCTTGGTTACTAGAAAGCAGTGTTTAAATCCGACTTTCAGCCAAGGGTGATTTTGTCCCCTAGGGGACATTTAGTAATGTCTGGTGACATTTGTGGTTGTCACAGGAAGGTAAGAGGGTGCTTCTGGCATTTGTGGACAGAGACCAGGGATGCGGTTATACGTCCTGTAAGACACAGGAGACTCCTCACTCCAGTGCCTCTCGCCCCACAAATCCAAGGTGCTGTCTTCAGAAGCCCTGGCGCAAGGGAAGGTGGTTTTATTGTTGCTTATTTATGGCAAAGATGACTTTTCATCCAGTTCCTCAATGAGGCCATTGAAAGGAAGCTCTCTCTAGCATGAGATGCGCGCTGCAGTCTCACATCTGAGGCAGGGCGTGCGCTGCCTCCCTGCCAGGCCGGTTAGTGTGACCGCCTGGCACTGTGGCCCGCTCAGCTGGCTGTGGAGCCACTACCCAAGGTCTCGGCAGAGGGTGTTTCTTGGTTTGGTATATCCATATGCAGCATGTCCGTGGGCCCAGGTCACTCCTGGAAGGTCCAGCAGCTGCAGAGTGGGCCTGAACCCCTGAGTGAGTTCTTATAATGTGGAGTGGTGTCCACGCCATCAGACCTGCTCTTAAAAACCTTTCAAGTGGACATCAAATATGGACCCCACGTTGGGGAGCAAGACGACAGGCTGCGTCTAAGCCCCAGCTGACGGCACCTGCTCTCGGGGCCCTTCTGGGCAGCCTAGCCAGCCTCTCTGGGCCGTGTTCCTAGCCTCTGAAGGAAGCGAGGTGAAGCACCCCCCCGGGAGCTCCGGAGTGATCTGAGTCTGTGTGTGGTCGGTTCTGCTCAGCCGACATTGACCTGGATGTACTTGGCCTCTTAACTTGCTGCCTCTAAGTCAGTGTTGAGAAGGTGGTCCGCATGGCCTGTGTAGATCTGTGTGCCTGGTCGTCTCGGGAGGAAGAGCTCTCTGACGTTGGGTTCTGGTGATAAAAGGTAATGTTGCAGTTAAGACCAGGGGGTCACCAGGCAGTATTCCTAGAATGATTATGTGACGAAAAGCGGGTCCCTGGCATTTAATGGTTGCATGGGGCTCACATCACCTGTGGTGCCTCTGGCCTTTTACTCACTCAGGTTACACTGTAGCTCCTTAGTGACAGTCCCCGTAAAATCCTAAAGAGTGTGACATGAGGCAGTGTGAGCCACAGCCTGTTTGGCACCTGCCCTGGCGTGAACTGAGTCTTGCCACACCATCCACCGCCATTGTGGCTCTGTGTAGAGTGCCCCTTACGTGCCGGACTCATGCCTGTTGGTCTCATCTGGAAGCTGGCGCTTGTCCCCGAGTCCTGTCGCTGCTTTAGAGGATCAGGGAAGTCTACCCTGGGCCTCAGACCTTCCTCTGTAGGGTGAGAAAATGACACAGGCGCAGGTCGCTGTAGCTGGACGTGGTGGCTGGAGCCTGGCACATTCATGGGGGAGGGACTTGCTCTGCGTCACTGTCCCCTTCCACGGTGTCCGTCTTAGCTTGGCAGTTGGGATTTAAATGACTCTGTTAGTTGAGTGGACATTGTTTGTATTAAAGCGGGATCGACTAGCAGGACCAGTTTTGTTTGTGTAGCTGGCAGTGTCACAGGTGAGTGACAGTGTGTGAATTTGTTACTTGACGGTTAGTGACTTTTGCTAGAAACGGGGCGTCTCCCAAGGTCTGCCATGGCCTTTTCGGGCGAGGGAGTGAACGTTCCACGGGGAACAGCAGTGTCCAGGCTTCCTGGGAATCACTGAGCTTCGAATTCTGGAAGCTCAGGGAGCAGCGCGCAGCACCCGGGGGACACAGCGGCGTCTGGGCGGGGTGTGTCTGGTTCCTTACGTCACCTTTCCTTCCCCTCCTCAGTGGCATAATAGGGGAGCGCCTGCCCATCAGGTACTACCTGACGTTCGGGATGCTGGCCAGCGGGGCCTTCACCTCCCTGTTTGGGTTGGGATACTTCTACAACATCCACAGTTTCGGATTCTACGTGGTCACGCAGGTAAGGGTCGGGGTTCCGGTGACAGGCCAGGGCAGTTAAAACGAAGCCCTTCCGAGTCACTCTGCCCTGACCTGGGTAAACTTGAGATGCTCTGTCTCATGACATCTGACCACTTGGGAGTTGGGGGACATGGGGTGTGGCCGATTCCCGAGGTCCAGAGATCCCTTTGAGATTCTTCTGGGCTTCTCCACGGGGAGTTAGAAAATCATCCAAGCAAACTGTATTTCATTCTGTTTTTCACGATTTTGCCACAATACTTCAAAAGGTTTGGCTGTTTCATTACAAAAGTGATTCATGCTCACACACGGCCGTTCCCAGCATCCGTGGGGAGTGGCCCCAAACCCCCTGCAGTGACCAGAACCCACACCTGCTCGGGTCCCCTCTGTGAAACGGCAGGGGTTTGCTCAGAAGCTGCCCACACTCTCGTGGGCTTCAGTCACCTCCAGATTACCCGCATCCCTCAGACAGGGCACGTGCTCACTCCCACGTCAACAACTGCAGGAGCGCACAACGACAAGAAGAAGGCCCTGCTGCGTGCTCCTGCAGGCCTGGCTGCGGGCTGGCCCTGTGGGTGGTCGAGTCCTCAGACGCGGAGCCCTTGGGCCACAGTAATACAGAAAGTTGGAAGGAAGGAAAAGCAGTTCCCAGAGTCCCCATGTGTTCAGGCCTGAAGGCCGAGCCTGGCCAGGCAGGGCAGCTGCAGGTCGATGGGCGGCACCGGGCTGGACTTGACTCCTGTGGCCTTAGAGGGTGGTCCCAGTGCCCAGCACCAGTACATGCCCCAAGTCCCTTCATGAAACCACGGGGACAGGAGTGCTCCCCAGGCGCTGAGTGCAGTGTGGTCCCTGCAGAGGCTAGCAGCCGTCTCGCGGCACAGGGAGGGAAGATGGGCCTTTCTAAGCCTCTTAATGGTACGGTTCATAAACAGTTCTATAAAAAGAAGAAGCATTTTCTCTCTTCATAAAATTTTTAGATTGCACAGAGCCTGGGAAGCTCAGCCCTGAGCTGTGAGCGGGAGCTGTTCCTGGCAGTGTCCCGCCTGGCGCTTCCTGCTCTTCCCTACTACTCTAACATTTCCACGACGTGCACGTTGGAAGTCTCACCTAAAATATCTACATAGAGAGTTTAAACTGTATAGATTTTAAGCTACATTTATATAGGTATCCTATGTATAGAAACTACATATATATGCTTTAAATCTTAAACATTATACATATGAAATTCTAACTTTGCGTTTAAGGGCTGGGGTGTAGACGGGTGGTAGAGTGCATACTTAGCATGCACAAGGCTCTGGGTCCCCTCCCAGCACTAAAAAAATACAACTTTGGCTGCCAAGGGGCGTGCACACAGGAAACAAGGTGTTGTCTGCTTTTGGGAGAGGCCCTGCAGTGTCCCAAGACCCAGGGGAAGGGTGCGGCAGCTGGGGGAGCCCGCCTGAGGGGCCGCGCATGCTCACGCCTCCTCTCACTCCCTGCAGATCCTCAACGGATTGGTGCAGACCACCGGCTGGCCCAGCGTTGTCACCTGCCTCAGCAACTGGTTTGGGAAAGGAAGGTGAGAAAATGCAGCCGTTCCCCACGGGGCCTATGTTTAAAATATGCTGATGGAAACCAGACCACCCCCTTGCCAGCTTTCTTTAAAGTAAGATGATTGGAACCTTCAAGTCCAAGGCGGGGGCTACACCGTCAGTGGGTAGAGCCCCACCTCTGGCTGTGTGGGTGGTTCCAGTGTGTGTCATTTGGACTACACCAGGGGTCACTCTGATGGCCACCCCCTGGATGTAGCCTCACCCAGCCTTCCAGGAGCCGTGGGAAATGCAGAGTCCAGGGACCCATCCAGCTGTTTGGATGCCAAATTGACATTTTAACGTGGCAGTTGGAGAAGTCCTGACCCAGGTCACCCAGTGCATCAGAAACAGGGCTGGGGCCCAACTCTGGTGATTTGACTGCAGCGCAGGGTCACTTGGCGATGTCCACGAGAACGGACAGCACAGCCAGGCTGCAGTTCGTAAGGGAGGAAGGGAGCTAGCGAGGCACATGCTCCAGGCACCTGGCCTGCGGCACCACAGCTTTCCTTACCCGATGGCTCCTCCTGAGTCTGGGTTGAGCCTGTGGAGTTAAATCTTGGGCCTTCCAAGAATTTCAGGAAAGGGCCTCTTTCTTCTTTTTAATTGTAGAATAAAGAAGCTCTGAGAGAGAAATGGAATGTGTCTTACGTAGCCTGTGGCAGAACGAAAGCCGGGTGCTCTGGTCGGCCTCTTGGTCCTGCGCCCTGGGGAAGGCTCTTCCTACCCACTCAGGCGCCCTGCCCCAGGACCGGCCCAGCTTCTGGGCACTCACTGTGCTGGCCTTGTGTTGCAGGCGAGGGCTGATCATGGGCGTCTGGAACTCCCACACCTCCGTGGGCAACATTCTGGGCTCCTTGATTGCTGGCTACTGGGTGTCCACGTGCTGGGGCCTGTCCTTCATCGTGCCTGGGGCCATCGTGGCAGCCATGGGGATAGTGTGCTTTCTCTTCCTTATTGAGCGTAAGTATGCCTGGCCCTGGAGGCGGCTAGGAGAGGGTCTCAGCTTCGCCTGCCTGGAGGGTCAGGGGCAAGGTGGGTGTGGGCTGCTGCCCGGCTCCCTGCATGCACGCTCACACTGCTGTCCCCTGGCTCATGAGACTTCCTGTTCGTATACAGGCCTACCCGGTGCCCAGCCCCCTCCTGGTCTTGATGGATCTCCCACCGTTTCCTAGTTTCTGGGGTGACCACGGTAGAAATCCCTCCTTCTGCCCTCCTGCCCCTGCCTCCTCCCTCGGCCTCAGGCATAGTGTCCAGGACTCTTCTCCTCCTCAGGCTGCCATGGCACTCAGGCCTGGGGGAGGCCAGCCAACGTGGCCGCCCCTGCTCACCCCAGCCTTTCCTCCACAAATGGCAGTGGACCTTGCCGGCTTATTTGCTTTGTGATAAGCTGTATCTAGAACAATGCTATAAACCATGGCATGACCTAAGGCTGGATGTCTTAATTAGCTAGAGTATCTACCGGAAAACCAAGACTTTCCATTCCAGAGTCAATACTAAGCTTTTCATTTAACTGATTTTGAAAGTGATTTTCTAAGTAGAGATCCGGCAGGACAAGGATTCGAACGATCATGCGTGACAGAGATGCCAGCTGTTCTAGCCTTGCAAGCTGTTCTGATAGATGTTTGGCACTTCGCTCTTTGATTGACTTGAAGCAGAATACCAGCGTAGAGAGCTCACGTGGCAGGACAGGCCCACTTGACCTCCCCAGGCACGGGGCGCAAGTTAGGTTTCTCTGCCTGGGTTGGGCACTCCAAGATGCCAGCTCATCTTCCAAAAAATGATTGTGTCTTCTCTTCTCACTTTTCGTCGTTGTTGGCAAAGCTAACCTTGTTCGTTTGTTTGGTACCAGAGATTGAACCGAGGCTGCTTAACCCATGAGCCACATTTTTTTTATTTTTTTATTTAGAGTCAGGGTCTCACTGAGTTGCTTAAGGCCTTGCTAAGTTGCTGAGGCTGGCTTTAAACTTGTGATCCTCCTGCCTCAGCCTCCTAAGCGCTGGGATTACAGGCGTGCACCACTGTGTCTGGCTCCAAAACTAACCTTTTAATTTTTAAAATAACCAGCATCCAACCAAGTTAGGGTTTTGAGACTCCGGGTCCAGGCTTCTATGTAGATAAAAATGGAAAGGAAAATTCAGATATCGAGTTCATAGGCATGCCCCCGGCCCCACCCGGCCCCGCCCATCCTGTGTCAATGCTCAGCCACTTCAGCAGGTGTCCTGTGGCACAGGCAGGCCTTCTGACCTGCTGTCCAGCATGCTAGCGTGTGGCAGCTAACTAACGGCATGCCACTGGCATTTCAGGAAAGGCTGCTCGTACCCACTGCCCCTGCGTGCTGGCTCTGTCCTCTAGTCCTCAGTGGGTGAAAGGGTCAGTTCTGGGGCAGGAGGAGCTGCGTTGTGGAATGGAGTGTATGCTGATGCCTACGCGGCCCAGGACCTCGGGTGGCACCCTAGGCTCAGTGATCCTGGACTGGTGTTGTCCCGCTCAGCAGGGTGCCAAGACAGGAAGCTCTGGCTTGGTCTTTTGTGATTAAACAGGAGTGTCCTTTTCATGAGCCTCCACTCCCACAGCATGAGGCGTGGGCAGGTCATGCAGGAGGACTGCCCCGCGCCCCTCCTGTTCAGAGTGACCTGCTGGGCCGCCTCACCCACTATTGCCATGTCTTGGGGCCCTGTTTGCTCCTCCCTCGTCTACACTGGGGCAGAATCGCTGTCTCCACTGTCCGGGCCTCTGGGCCTTGAGCACAGCACAGGCCTTGCGGGCTCCTGGGGGGTTTGGCTAGACCGACATGGTCCACTGGCCCCTCAGAGCTCTGGCCTCCTCTGTTCTCCTCGGCTCTGGGAGGGAAGCGCCCACTGTCACTGACAGGCTGTCCAGGGACCCAGGGGAAGGAGGCCATGCTGCAGGGCCCAAGTCCCACTCGGTTTTGCTTCCTCCTCTCTCCACTGGTCCCATTCCCCAGTTCCAAGGGGGTTTTCTTGCACATAATATTGGCTTTTAGTCATCACTAGGAAGTTCTGCAGTTCCGTGAGGGCCATTGAGCGCTTCCTGTTCCTCGGGAACCACTCCTCCCCCTGCCCCACCTCGCACCCTCAGGCACTTCCTGGGTCTGCTCCCATCTCCCACCACCCCAGGGCCTCCAGGCTCATCTCACTGCCCCAGCGGCCCCTCTGCCTCCCCTGCTCTGGCCAGGCTGCCTCCAGGGCCTGGCGCGGGCCATGGGCCCCTCCTGGCCTCGCCCTTGTCAGCCTCTGGCAGGACGGCTCCCTTGGTGCCTTCCCTGCTGCCCCCTGCTGCTGCGTTTGGCCGGGTCCACCTCTTGTATTAGAATCTGAGGGTGACGTTGCTCCTCTTCTCAGAATGGAGCCTTCGTCTCTGGTACCTCTTGCAGAGGTCAGCCCGATGCCTGCCCTGGGCAGTGCTCACACAGCTCTCCTGGCAGGGCTGAGTGGCCCGCCCAAGGTCCAGCAGATGCCAAGTGGCAGAGCTGCCGTGGCCACTGCTGGCTCCTCTACGCTAATTTTCTCTGACTTCAGTCATGGACACCTTGGGTCCTTGGGGTATGTTCTTCTGAGTTTCATTTAAATATTTTCCACTTACACAATCTCTTAAAAGACAAAACGTGGTGGGGGTGTAGCTCGGGGCCCTGGGTTCCATCTCCGGCACCACAAAAACAAGCGTCAGTTATAAATGCCGTCTTCTCCTACAGACACGATGTGCATTTGGAAAATGTGCCCTCACGCGCGAGCTTAGCTTCTTAAGTCAGTGTTGGTCCAACCTGGGTCCCTGCAGCCAGCACGAGTGTCCACCGCTGAGGTTCAGATTGTGCTTCTGACAGTTGGCCAGCAGAGCGTGAAGAGGCGGGACGCTGGGAGGGGGTGGCCAGGTGCACCCTCACCTCCGCAGCTGCGACCTCAGCCGTGTCTTTTCCTTATGGTTGTTGGAGTGGGAGCCCAGGTGGCGCCTGTCCTCCCTCTGAAACGCTCCTGGGAGTCGGGCGTGCAGTGGTGCCCTGGGATGCACGGGGCGGTGAGGGGTTGCAGGGGAGCACGTCCCTGTGGGTGCTTTCTGTGGGAGCGCGGCTGTCTGTCATTCCCGTGGAGCAGCGCCGCCCAGCCTCTGGCCCTGCACGGAGCATGGCCACGGTCCCACTCTGGTCCATCCTGCGCGTGGGCAGCATTGCTCACACTGTCCTCCTCTCTGCTCTTTCAGATCCGAAGGACATCAGATGCTCCTCCACCCTGTCCATGGTAAGGCTCACTCCAGTTCTTGTCACCTTCTGGACCTGGGTGCTATTGGCCGGTGTCCTCACCCCGGGCCTGGTTCTCTCTTGGCTGGCTGTGGCTGTGCCCATCTGGATTCCTCACTGAGGGAGCCAGGGGCAGGGGCCTGGCAGAGCTTCTCCAGGAGGGGCAACCCCCTAGCTCTGCCCTGGGGCCGGGGTCTGCGTGAGTGGAGAAAAACACTCGGGTAAGCTGGTTAGCTCACCCCTCAGAGGGCTCCGGGACTGCCCAGTACACTGACATGCTCCTGGTCAGGTTAGTTGCACGTGGCCCTTCACCTCTGCTCGTGTGAAGGCCCTTGTCCTGGTGACCATCGGCCCTGCAGCAGGGCGCACACCCTGCTGCCTCCCTGCCATGTCCGCTGCCCTCTGGAGTCACTGTCTCGCCTTGGGCCAGCCTCTTGGCTCCTGTCCCCTCCCCTGTTTGGCCTGGGGGGCGGGCTCCTGCAGTCCCCCCACCTCCATCCAGCCCCACTCCCATACCATTCCTGGCGCGTCTTGTGGTATGAACTGCCATCTTAAAAGAAAGGCCTCTGGCCTTCTGTCCTGCTCCAGGCCAGTCCCCTCCTCTCCTCGAGCTCCCACCGCTCCACTGAACTGGCCACCAAGGTGCCAGCAGCATCTGGTCATATGGGGTGGGCATTACCTCTCACCCAACTTGAGCTGACACTGCTGTTTGGCTGGGCTGTCCTCCCTCCATGAACCACTCTCCTTGGACTTGTGGTGGTCACCTCACCTTGCTGGTTTTCTGGTGGCACACTGGCTGGACGGCCTGGGCAGTGTTGTGGCCCCTCTGCAGAGCCCACTCCTTAGCCTGCTCGGCCCTCGTGCACCTTCCACTGCAGGAGAGCCTCACACGCTGCTCCCAGCAGTCGTTGTGCGTTGACACCATCGTCCCTCAGCTCCAAGGTCATTGATCCCACTGTCCACTTGAGCTTCCCATGGATCCATCTGGTTGTCCCCTCGGACCTAGCACGACCAGAGTAGATCTCTCAATTTTGCCCCATAAACTCACTGATCTTGGCATTGCCCATCATGGCCCAGGGCCCCTGACCACCCACGGACAGACACTCGCATTCGTCCAGCCCCTCTGGCCTCCACGCCACCTGTGCCAATCCTGTCGGTTCTGCTCTTAGCGTGGGTTTGGGGGTTGTGGTACGGACACGCTCTTGTCACCTCCACCTTCCTGGCCCTCCATGCTCCTCCCCAGAGTCCTCTGTGCTTTAGATCACTCCTCACACTCCCCCTGCAAAGACCTCTCCAGGCAAAGGCAGCACATGTCCTGGCCTTGCCTGGTGGCTCTCAGTGGACATTTCACTGGGCAGGAAGTCCTTTTCACCTGTCTGCTCTCTGTCCCCACTGAAGCAAGGACCCCGTCTGTCCTGTCCTGCTGCAGTCCTGGCCTCGTGCAGGAGAGGGCGCCAGAGCTCCCTTCCCGCCCACTGCTTAATAGACTGGTAGGGCTTCCGCCTACAGTTCATTTGAAACAAAGGGTTCTGGTGTTTTACTAAACGAACAAACAAAAAAATAAGAAAATGAATTTTGAGAGCCACTATCTTCTGGAAGATTAAACATAGTATGGCTTTTGAAACTGTAGTCACTAGAGGACGTTCCTGAAGCCATCTTCCTGCCTTGGCCTGGGGTTCGGGGTCTGGGGCTTGTAGAGACTCAAGCCGAGTTTGTGCCCAGAAAGCTCCAAGAGCCTCTGAGGGGGCGCACGCGGGCTCCCCTCCACCTAGCCGGGCCTTTCCCCCAGTAGTGTCTGGGCCTGGGGATGGGAAACGTGGACAGGCAGGGCAGGGGCTTGGGGAAGGGCCTGTCTTCCTCAGAGCCAGCCCCTAGGAGTCCGCAGAGCAGGCCTGGGCCCCGGGAGGTTCTTCTCCCGCGGTGTGCGTGCACCCGGGCTGCCACCTCTGCTTTATTTTGCTCTTCAAATCTTCTCTGAGCAGTTCACTGAGCTCGCATGGAGCCCAGGTGCCCGCAGGGCATGGCACAGCCTGGTCCTAGGGCATGGCTCCTCTTCCTCTTCCCCTCCCTGTCCCTGGGGCTGCTCCTTGGGTCATGGAGAAGTTGGCGTGATTCTGGGGACATTGCATCAGCTTCTGCAGACGGCCAGCGCTCCCTCTTCTAAGAACATGTCCCACTGAGTGCCCCGTCTTGCCACACAGTCCTGACACAGCCCCAGCAAGGAGGGAGGCAGCCTGGCCCTCCCAGAGTGCTGTTCCTCTGTGTGGCGGGGGGGCAGGTAGGAAGCAGGCCACCAGGAAGACCTTTGAGCTGACTGGCTCTGAGGGAGCTGTGTTCTGAGGTGTTATTTCATGATGTGGTCCTTATTTTTTTCCAATATTTTAGAGTTTTTGCTGTGGAAATTTAAAAACCTAAAAAAGTTAAAATAATTACAGGATGAACTTTAGGATTTCCAAAACAGTCTGGGAAAAGAACAAAGTTGGAAGAACAATCGCCCTGATTTCAGTGCTCCCTGCAGTGCTGCCGGAACTGAGCAGACGCACAGTGGGTGGGACTGAGAAGCCCAGAGAGGACCTCGTCCTGGTGGGCAGTCGATGTGACAGGAGCACTGGGCGTCCAGCGGGTGAGGGTCATCACAACACAGGCGCTGGGACAGAGGCACCACACCATAAGTTAAAGTGGACCAGGGACCTAAATGGGAGCTAAAACCCTTGGCAGAAAACAAGGAGTGCGTCTTCATGACTTCAGGCCAAGCCTCCTCTGAGCACTGAGCTCGCGTGGGGCCCGTTGCCCTCACCCTCTCCGCGGGCCACCTCCTGGTGTGCCCTCGGGTGTGACGCCAAGCGTGCAGGGGTGTACCTGTCCCGTTTCTGTTGTGAGTAACACAATACTGTGGCCGGGTGAGTGTTAAGACAGAGGTTATTAGTGCCCTTGGCTCTGGGGTGCAAGGTCGAGGGCTGCCTCTGGCAGCAGCCTTCCTGCTGGTAGATCCCGCAGCACCAGGCAGGGCGAGGGTCAGCCTGGGTATGAGTCCTCGGGAAGCCATCAGGATTCCGTTGTGGGGCTCCGCCCGATGGCCTCATCTCGCCCCAGTCACCCCTCCCGGGCCCCTCCTCCAAACAGCACAGTTAGGTCCAGTTTCCACACTCAGATACCTCGCAGTGCAGCTGGACTTCAACAGGCAGCGCCTAAGGGACACACCCAAGCCGCGCACAGAATCAAAACTTGCATCATTCCAAGGGAACCACCCAGAAAGTGAAAGCACAGCTCCACAGAACGGGGAGGGAAATATTTCCAAATCATGTCTGATAAGGGACTGTACCTGCATATATAAAGAGCTGTTAAAAACCAGGAATCGAACAACAAGCCAGTTAGCCAGGAACAACGGGGGTGCACACCTCTAGTCCCAGCAACTTGGGGGCTGCAGCCAGAGGGTAGCAAGTTCAAAGCCAGCCTCGGCAACTTAGCAAAGCCCTATCTCAAAAGATTAAAAGGGCTGGGGCTGGGGCTTAGTGGTAAAGTACCCCTGGGTTCAATCCTAGTACCAAAAAAAAAAAAAAAAGACAACCAAGTTAAAAAGTGGTCCAAGGATCCAAACAGACATTTCTCCTAGGAAGGTATACAAGTGGTCCGTGAACACACGGATAGCTGCTCAGCATCACCAGCCATCAGGAAAACGTGCTCAGAACCACTGAGGTGCATCCACACCCCATGGGATGGCTGGGATCAGCGACAGACAAAACGTGTCCCTGAGGTGGGAGCTCACTGCAGTGCAGGTGTGAATGGCCTCGCGTGGGGACCAGCCCTGCGGTTCCTTGAAGAGTCAGGTGTAGGCTTGCGTGTGGCAGCAGTGCCACTCCCCAGAACCTCCCCAGGGAGAGAGCTCGTGTCCTCCATAAAGCTTGCTCGCGGATGTTACTGCATGATGCGTAGTAGCCACAACATGGTCGCAGCTGCAGTGTGCTGGCTGGTGAGAGCACAGGGTGCAGGGCAGCTGGGAGCTGAGCACCCACACACACTCCACGGTGAACCCCCCAGCCCCGTGCACGTCCCAGTGCCGTGCCACTCAGCTGCGCCCAGCCCCTGTGTGAAATGTCCAGAAGAGTCAACTCGAGAAACGGAGAGCAGATGGGTGGGCGCAGGGCGGCAGGGCCTGGGGGCAGGAGGGTCTGCTCCTTCTGAAGGCGACAAATCTGTTGTGAGATGGGCGTGGTGATGGTTGTGAACTCTGAGCTGCACCCTCCAGTTGAGCTTGAACCATGCCCTCACCGCGCCGCCTCCTGGTGCTGCCGTGGGTTTTAAGGCCCAGGTGTTCTCTGTTACCACACCCGTCAGTGCCCGGGCTGTGGCACGCAGGGTTCTGTGTGGTGCTTAAACAGGTCCAAGCACGGTCTGTCCACCCCTTGGCCAGCATGTCCCTGGAGCCTCTCATTGATAGGTGGCTGTGTTTATTTTTCATTTGTTGTTTTCCTCCGTTGAGTGACTTCTGTTGAGGAAAGCGTGTTTGTCCTGTGGGGTTACCCACATCAGGGACTTCATGGCCACGTCCCCGGGTGCTTCTAGCATGCTCCTCTGTCCCCATGTCCTGCAAACTGGTAGCCATGGTCCAGCCCAGAACTGAATTTCCCAACGAGTTTTCCTTTCAACTGAATCACAAGAACTGTGAATTGGAGGCTGGGGGTTGTTTCCTGTCTGCCTCAAGTCGGAGGATGCTAATGAAGCAATGTGTCTCTGCATCGGCCTCCTGCTGCTGAGGAGCTGTTGGGATTGGTCCTTCCGGTTCATCCTGCTCTCTGTGTTATTTAGGTTTATGGCATCTGTGAGGGACCCCAATCTAGGGCCCGTTTTAGGGCTTTGACAGATTTAATGCTGTTATCTCCAAGCAGAAGGGAAACGCACAGCCTTCTACCGAAACCAGGTGGAGAGGTACTTCTGTCTTGCCTCACCAAGTCGAGAGGTAGCCAGCCGCCCAGGGTGAGCCACGTCCCAGGGTTGAGGGACCCAGGCTCCTGCCACTGCTGTACCCCTGGGCATGGGTTTCAGGCCAAGATGGTCCACCCCGAGCCGTCCTAACAGTGCCTGGCACAGAGTGGAGGCTTAATAACTGTGAGTGAATGAGCGGGTGGTCAGTCCAGATGGGGGCTGGACTCCAGCTGTGTCATCTGTGTCCTAGCCAGTGGGAAGGAGCGCAGGCCCCTTCCCTTCCCGGACACTTCCTCAGGGCTCCTCACTGCTGTGCCTAGCTGTCCCCCGGAGCTGCAGAGGGGCTGTGGGATGGGCTTTGCCTTGAGCCCGTGTCCCTGACTGAAAGGCCTGGGCTTTGTCCACGGGGAAGAGGACGTACGTGCATGCTGGCTTTGAGAGCAGGCCAGCCCCTGCCTCTGACTGGCCTGGTGAGGGGACACACCGGGTCCTTGCCTGACCTGGGCATTTCCCTTGCAGGCACTAAGCCCAGGCTTCCTCAGAAGGGCTGTCGCCCCGTTTCAGATGGGGGTCCGCAGAGCCCTGCATGCAACGTGGGTCTGGTGGTCCGCCTGACAGTGACAGCAGCTCCAGCCAGCTTGTCTCTGGACCCCTGGGACGCTGCCTGGCCCCCATAGCAGGTGGCCCTCATCGGGTGTCCCTCCCTCACCCCTGCATCTCCGTCTGTTCTTTAAGAAAGGAGTTTATTTTCGCCTTCTGTGGTCCGAGACTCTGGAGGTGAAATTGAACTACTCTCCAGCCCATTGTTTTATTTGAACTATTTCTCGTATTTTCTCTTTGTCGTGTTTGTGGGGACAGGAGGTATCCTTGCCACGGTAAAGGTAGCTGAATTTCTGGCTGTTGATTGAATAACTGCTCTAACTACGTTTTTCCTCCCAGCACTCCAAAGGCTACGAGAACACAGTGGACAGATTCAGACTCCACAAGCCAGTCCTGCACGGCGAGAAGAGCAGGCCTCTGGTGAGTCGCGCAGCGCGGGCTGCAGGCCCTAAGGTCCTTCGAGCCACAGGGCCGCCCATTCCCCTGGGTGTGCCACCAGCTTCCAGGGTCTTTACAACTTGGACCTCGGAGTTTCACCAGTAAAGCTTGGCCTTCTTTGGCTACTAAGCCAAACCTATTTTATGTTTTAAATCAAACGTGAAAGTGATTCACTCGTTCAACAGCTGTTTCCAGCATCCGGTGTCCCAGCACTGTTCCCTGCTGGGGGGAGGGGAGGTGGGGACAGATGGGAAGTGAGCAGAGGTGGGGCTGTGTGCCGGAGGGCCCCGAGCAGGAGCTCTCTGTTCCCGGGGGCTGCCCTCAACAGGTGGCAGGGTGCAGAGCAGGAGGAGCCCACAGGTCCTGCGCCTCGAGGGGTCGGCAGGGAGCACGCAGGGGTGGATGTGAGCTGCACCCCAGACCCAAGAGCAGGTGGGGGAGAGAGGAAGAGCGTGCGCAGGCGCCCCGCCCTCCCGCCTTGCAGGTGAGGCACAGAGCTGCTGAGCTGCTGCTCTTCTGTGGCACTGGGAGGCTCCTGCCGACACCCGGGGCCTTTACCCTCCCTTCTCCTTCAGGATTCTTCCAGAAGCCCCTCATCCCTGTGACTTAACTGACTGTACTGAGCATCCAGGGCCAGTTCAGACCTGGTTTTAATCCTAGAAACAAGCTATTTTCTTTTTAAATCAAATTGCTTAAAGGCTAAATATATCAACATACTTTTTTCTTTATTTTCTGGGGAAATTTATTTGTGGTGGTTGAAACATTAATAAAGGGAAGCTAATATCTAGTGCTTCGTCTTCCTTGGATCTTAGGGAGTGTGGGCACTGGCTAATGCAATGAAAAATGCTTTAGTCTGTATTCACTGCTGAGTTTATAGGTTTAAAAATCACATCTTAATGTCCACCTGGATGCAGCTCCTGATGTTCCTACAGATTGATTGACCTTCTCCTCTGATCTGGACCACAGGCCCTTGTTCTGATGTCCTCATCTGAAACTAGCCTTGCTCTGAGTATAGCTTCCCTCTTTCCTTTTCTGTCCCTTCTATAAAAGCCTATTCGCTAACATGCCACCAAAGTGCCAGTTACATATTTAGAAGCCCAGCAGGTCATTTCAGGCCAAAGGAGATAGGAACAGGGCCAGACGGTTGCTGGCAGCTCGCTGGGCATCCACTCTCAGCAGGCCCCTGCCTCTGCCCCTGGCCCTTGCCCTTGCCCTTGGTTAGGGTCAGCAGGCAGTGTCCCATCAGCATGGCAGGACACCCTGGCTGTTCTCTTGCCCAGAGTGATGCGCGGGCACCGACCTCCCACTTCCCACACAGTGCTGTGGCCTCTGTCGGTGCCGGGCGCATCCTTAGTGGCTGAATGAAGCATCAGGCCAGGGAAGTGAACGCGAGAAGGAGCCAGAGCTCTGGTGTCGCGTGGGCAAGCAGCAAGCCTCCTCTGGTCCTCCTGGGGTTGGTGGTCAGTTGCTTGGGATGGTCCTCACGTGCCATCCCTGAGGCCACTGTCCTCCCTAGCCTCTCTGATTGGCTGTGGCTCAGAATAAAAGACACAGGGTGGGCGTGTTCATACTGTGTCATTCCATCTGCACCTTTGGGACAGATGTGTCCCAAGCTCTCCCCTGGTGGCCTTCCTGCAGCATGGTGCAGACAGCTTGGGGCCCTCTTGCGCATGCCCCTCATGTGTGCCTAAGCGTTGATCTGATAGTGTGTCTGTTTTCCTGTCCCCTCCCCTCCTGCACCCGCCCTGCTGGAGATTGGACCCACTGGGTTTTCACAGTAGAGGGCCCTTTGCTCCTCGAAAGGGTAAATCCCGAGAGGGGAGTGCCGTGGTCCGAGCAGCCCCTGCACCCAGCAGGCTCCACAGGCCCTGCATGATTGAAACCTGCTTGAGTAGGGGTCAAGAGTAGGGTCTCTTTGGCCCTGTGTCTTCTTTTCCATCTCCTCCACACTCCAAGGGACTGGGTCTTGGTGACAGGGAAACCCAAAAAGGGTGGCGGGGATGTGGGCGCAGGGCCTGTTCCCCACCGGCACAGAGCTGGGCTCCTCTCCGCTGCAGGAGCTCAGGGCCTGGTCTGTGGCTTTAAGCCCGCCCAGCAGGTGGCGCCCTGGAGCACCCTAGGAGTCCTGGAAGGGCCATGGGGTGGCCCGGCATCTGGGGCTGCTCTGTGGCCCCGGGGCTGGTGTGTGGCTACAGTCCAGAGCGCCCCTTTTTTCATTTTCTGTGTGGCTGCACTTCATCTACCAGCTCACCAACGCCCTGTTTAGAAAGGCCAGGGGTGTCCTGCGGTTCTCAGTCTAGACCCGGGGACCAACCAGCCTGGGCTGCCCCCAAGACTGCTGCAGTAGGGCAGTGCCAGCCTGGCCTCGGGGCTCTTGGGTGCCCAGGAAAGTCCTGGGTGCAGCACAGCGGGTGATGGCGTCTCCTAGCATCGCTCCTGAGAGGGAGTCAACTCCCAAACTCAAAACGCGGCTCCTTGATTTCCTCCACCTTAGGGAGTCGGTGTTGGGAAGCTGCAGGGTTTCACCCCTGGGCTTCACCGCCACACGGAAGCATCAGACTGTCCGGGTCAGTGTGAAGATGTCAGTCAGCCCAGCTCTGGATCCGAGTCCTGGTCAGGGCTCCTAGCCTCTGGGACCACACAGGTCCCGGGCACCTGAGGCCACCACGTGGGAATGCAGCTGCTGCAGCCGCCCCACCACCACCACCTTTTCCCTAATTTCTGTGTCTCCCTGAGGGAACTCTAAGTACCAGGGGTAGGTGTGAAGTGCGTCACCATTTTCATTTCTTGTTCTTTTTGAGGATTTTTATTGTATTTAGAATCCGGCTCCCATAGGTCACAGGGAGATAAATACAATAAAACCTCTTTGATGTTGCAAAAAGTCTAAAACACAGAGAAGTATCTCTTGTTCAGTGCTTTACCTTCCAGTGCAGCCATGAAGAGACTCTCCAGATCAGCCTCGTTCTGACTTCAGACTCCTCCCTGACGTGGGGGTCCTCTTCTACACTTTAACAAGTGCATACTTTGTCCCTTAGGAATGCTCAGAATATGATAAAACACAAAAATCAGAATTGGTTTATGAATTTTAAAATAATACTGCTTCTGATAATATATGTCCATTGTGAACTCCTTAAAAAATTCAGGATTATATAAAGAATTTCTTACCTACATTTCCTTCAGGGACAACCCTTGTTTAGATTTTAACTTTTTTCTGTCTAGACAAAGATCCTGTAGTTAAGTACCTACCCAGCAGGATACAAGCATTCTTTGAGATCATAATGAGAGTGTTATTATTTCATGTGCTGAAGTATTTTCCTATGTTGTTAAACATCTTCTAACCTTCTTTAAGAACTTCAAGGTGTGCCGTTTATGAGGACAAACTGTATTGACCAACATTTCTCCGCAGTTGCGCAACATTTATTTTATCCTGTAAACATTTCTTCACTTTTCACGTTTTTCTCAGACTGCTAGAATGTCTAGATCAAAGGATTTTGTGTTTCACAGTGTTTCATAAAACACGATCATAAAGCAGTGGCCGTGGTGGGACGGTCATCATGTCCCCGAGTGGTGCCGGACGGCGTCACCGAGTGCTTAGGGCGCTGTCTCTGCAGCCAGACCTGCCAGCTGATGACACCTGTGTTTTTTCTCTAACGGACCCTCACCCAGGACCCAGAGATGCAGTGCTTACTGATGGCTGACGGGAAGAGTTCCATCTGCCCGAGCCACGTCGTCGTCCTGCCAGGGGACAGCGGGAACAGCATGACCGCCATCAGCTTCACGGGGGCCTTGAGAATCCCGGTAAGTACCTGCCGGGATGCTAACTAAGAAGGCGGGTGGCAAGTGGGGGTGGCACCGGAGCTTCAGGGCCAGGTGTGGCTGCAGGAGTGCTTAGTTGCATGCTACTATTTCCATTTGTTGAAATTAGCTATTCCATTCGGAGAGTCAGGGATTTCCTAGACAAGTGAGACTCCGGGTCTTCACTTGGAGAACAGATTCTGGCTGCCCCTGAGGCCCCCTCTCTCTCCCTGGCCCCAGCCAGCCCTGGGGCTCTGACCTTCCTCCCGACGGCCTCAGTGTGACCTGGGGAGGGACCTCACCTGTGCCTGGTCCATGGCACCAGGCGGGTCCAGGTCCGTCTTCTCCCCCTCTGAAGTGCCTCAGCAGCACAAGCCATGCCGGCCCTGGGTGCCAGCAGGAGGATGCGGAGTCGGGGTGTGGAGACCGAGGGGAGTGCCTGAGAGAGGAGCCGTCGGGCCTCAGTGTCTGGACATGGTCCTGGTCTACAGATTTCCTTGGGTTGGCCCTGGGGCCGCTGTCCGTGGTGGCAGTGTCCTGTGCTGGCAGTCTGCCTGCATGGGGAGACTCCAGGACAAGGCTGTGTACGCAGGGGGAGGCAGGGGCGCGGTGGTGAGAGCTCTTGGTGTCTTCTCATTTCTCCTGTTCAGTTCAGGGGCTCGCTCAGCCGTGAGGACAGGGAAGGCAGCGTCCCTCCCAGGGCTGGAGGCCACGCAGGCCAAGGCCAAGAGCAGAAGCAGGGGACACAGCAGCACCCGCCCCAGGGCCGCTTTCAACGCAGCCAGAGCATGTGGGGAATGAGTGGCCCCACTCAGAGGGACAGGGAGGAGCCAGGGATGGGAACGGTGTGACCCAGAACTGAAAAGTCAAGAGAATTAAAGGACAAGAACTGCTGCTTCAGGACAGAGGGTGCCACCAGGGCCCCCAGGAAACCGGGTCCACAGCAGTGAACCTGGGGCGGCCTCTAGCCAGTGGAAAACACCGGGGCTCAGGCCTGGCCACCTGATCATGGGAAGGCCTCTGCCGGCAGCCCGTGGAGATGGGACGTTACGTGAAATCAGTTTTAAGATTGTGTTAGTAACAGCCGAGGGTTCTCGGTGCCTGACTGTGTGCCACCCCTAACCCTGATGCCCTACACGGGGTCCGGGAGCCGGCCCAGCCCTCGGCCACTACTGCCCGGCTCTGTGGCCCTGCCCTTTGAGCCTCCTCTTCCCCATCGTAACCTGGCTTCCCACCTGCAGCGATCTGAGGACCAAGGGAGATGGTTCAGTTACAACACTGAGCAGCGCGCCAGGCACCGGGTCAGGACGCAGGGGACACTGTGTCCTCACAGGGGACATGCCCTCACACAGCGTGCCCAAGGAGCCACCCCGCTGGCTAGAGGGGTGGAGGGGTGGAGGGGTGGAGTGGTGATGGGTGACGGCATGCGCAGACATCATGGCAGTCAGCACCAAAGCATCTTTGGGATTCTCACGTGTTCCAAGTGGGATCTGGAGTCACTGTGTCACAGGTGCCACCACTGTGTCATGGGCTCCCAGAACCCACCCAACTCCAAGCCTCGGTGCACTCGCCACTGCCCTGCGTCTTCCACAGCATCCATGGTTTGTGCTGTGACCAGCAGATGCCGTAGCCTGGAGACAGGGGGGCTGTCCAGGGTGTCCTGGCTGTTGTAATTCACAGTGACTTCAGGGAAGACGCAGACATTAAATGCTCGAAAGCAGGTGGATGGCCCAGGCCGTGCCCCGTGAGACTCCTGTACTCCTGAGTGCACCAGGCAGTATGGGATGCGTACAGCAGGGTGCAGTCCATCGACCCCACTCTGCCGTGAAGACGGCCCTCCCCTTGACAGGCAGCTGGGCTCCCTCGGCACTTGTGGTCCTGTGGGGTGGGTGGCCCTCTCCCAGGAGGCCCCGGGTTTCCCAGGCGTGGAGTGGCTCTTCCTCGGTTGCCTGCGGCAGTCCTGCTCTGAGTCTGCCTGTGGTCTCACCAGCTCGCTCTCTTGCAGGGTGTGATTGAGTTCTCTCTCTGCTTGCTCTTTGCCAAGCTGGTCAGCTACACTTTCCTCTTTTGGCTGCCGCTGTACATCACCAGCGTGGGTGAGTATGCAGTCCATTCCAGGCACTGACAGCTTTGAACCCCGCGAACTGGTGCCTGGAGATGGCCGTGCACCATGACCCCAGGGCCAACGTGGCGACAGGCAGCCCAGCCGGAGGGAGTTTGGAGATTAAGTTCTGTTGTCCTACTAATAACCTTCCTGGGGTTTAAAGGGTTGAGTGTTCTGTCCCAGCTCTGGCCCCTAATTCCATGGGGTGCTTCCTATTCTGGGCAGCCTGCATTTAAATCTGGGCCACGTTGGACTTTGGAACCAGTGGGCCATGAGGGATCCAGATAATAAGCCCTTAATAGTCTGGCCTGGAAATTGCCTCTGGGAGGTGCATTCTGATTCGAGGGCAGACTGACCGTGTTGTGTCTCTGGAGTCCAGCAGTGGCTGAAGCTGTGGGTTATGACAGAACCTCCCCGGAGTACAACTCGCACCCCATGTAGACACGCAGGATGACAAGGGGACCTCAGCAGCCCGGGAGAGGGGCCTGTGGAGGAGGTGGAGCCCTGTGGACAGGGTGGGGTGTCTCTGCAGCACCCCACGCCCCCGTCCCAGAGGGCCTGGGGAAGCAAGAAGGAGAAGCCACTAGGGGAGAGGCAGTCTTGGAGGAGCCGGGGTGGGGAGCTTGAGGATGTGGGAGGGTTGGAGGGAGCAGAGCAGGTGCAGGTGGTCTCTGAGGGTAGAGGTTGGAGAGCCTGAGGTTCTGGAGCCAGTAGATGTGAGGGGAGCTCAGGGTCAGGGAGGATCTGTCCATCACACTCCTAGAAGGACCAGCCTGCAGGGTGGCGGACAGAGGGTGGGTGCAGGCTGCAAGGAGCTCCCTGAGGCTCTCTCCCTGATGACCCCCCTCGTTCCAACAGGAGCACAGCACAGGCCAAAGGGCAGGCCCTTGACGGGAGGCCATGCACTTTCTTTCTCCTTATTCCCATGTGACAGCACAGGGTGACACTTTTCAGACTCAGATCTCACACTGCTGGCCTGGCCAGTTTGAGTGACTAAAAAAAGCTGAGTTCCCTGCATGTGACAGCAGGACTTGCCCATGCTGCCCAGCCTCCTTGAAGCACAGAGCTGTGGGGTCTAGAGGAGACCCTGAGGCCTCTGTCTTGCTCTGGGGCCCGGAAGGCCTGGTCCCTGCCGTGTACCGGGCATGCGTGGCAACACTCCTGTTTGGCCCGAGGCACAGGCCAGCTTCCCAGGCTCTCCTGTCCTGAGTCGATGGCCCTTTGTGCCGTCCTGCACTGCCAACTGGAGGCAGGTGGTCACAAGGCTGGACCGGCCACTCTGGGCTTGGGCTGGCCACTCTGGGCTTGGGCTAGGAGTATCGTCAGCCGCTGTATGGCTTTTTTGTTCTTTTTAAGTGGAGGTAAATTGCTCCTTGGCGTAAGTGGCACTTGGGGGCAGATTCCCCTGGGGCTCCTCCGGAGCTCACAGTCCGCTCGTTTTGACAGACCACCTCGATGCCAAGAAAGCCGGCGAGCTCTCCACCTTGTTCGACGTGGGCGGGATCTTCGGTGAGTTCGTCGCCAGCTGTTCTCTTTGGGAGTATCTAACCTTGCTGTTCACACCCATGAGTCAGTTTGCTGCTGGGAGGGATCTGTGGACCCGAGTGAGCTCAGCCATCACTCTGGGGGGACCTCCATCTTCCAGGCCCTGCCTCTGTCCTTCAACAAGCTGCCCTCAGAAATGGCAGCCCCAGGCACGTGAGGAGAGGCAGTATTTGTACCCTAGCAAGTGAAGGGGCTTCCTGGTTGGCCTAAAAACCTCAACCCGGACCCCAGGGTTCCTCCAGGGCTCACATGGAACCCTACCGGGCGAGGCCTGTAGGGGCACAGACCCCTGAAGGCCACCTGTGGCCGAGGAGCACAGAGCCAGGAGGAGACCGTTCTGGCTCCCGCCGTTCCCTTCCCTCCGGAGCAGCCCAGGCCTGGGCGTTGGCCCCTCAGCCCGTCCCTGTCTGTGGCAGGTGGGATTCTGGCGGGTGTCATCTCCGACCGGCTGGAGAAGCGGGCCTCCACCTGTGGCCTGATGCTGCTGCTCGCGGCCCCCACGGTAAGGCTCCGCTTCCCTCCCGTGAGCCTCCCCGTGGCAGCACAGCGCTCCCCTCTGGCCGAGGTCTCGTCCTGACTGCTGTCTTGGGGTCCCCCCCCCCTCCTGCCCTTGCTGTCCCTCTCCCAAGACAAGCTTCCTCCAGCCCTGAGGACCCAGGGCCTTCCCAAACCCCAGGCTTGCTGGCCCCATCACACCCGTCTCATTCTGCTCCTTAGGTCCTCAGTTGCTCATGACCTTGAGCAAGTGACCTCTCTCTGTGCCTCAGTTTCCTCATCTGAAAACCAGGGGTGACGGTGGCACTGCCTCTCTGACTAAAGATCCAGTGAAGTGCTGGCCGGTCATTGCTGTGTTCTGATGTCTTAGAGGCCACTCTGTCACCACCTTGCAGTCTAGCCATTTGTCCACCTGCCTTTCCACTGTCCCCAAAATAAGGCTTAGTTCTCAGTCAACCTGGGGCCATGGACATTCAAGGAATATTCAGGTGCCCCCTGCCATCCCTGGGTGCAGCTGCTCAGGTGGGCAACCCAAGTCGGCAGTTAAGACCTTCCATCCGGGAGCTCAGAGGAAGCTGCCCAGTGTGGCCATCAGCACCAGCTCTGAGCCCACCCTGCAGGTGACCCCGGGACCCCAGAGCTTGGTCCAGAGCCCAGACACCTGGGGTGGGCTGGTGCCCCACAGGCACTGTCTTCAGGCGGGGGCGTGGCCGTGATTTCGGGGACCCCACTCTTGGGGTGCTGGCTTTAGGACACAGGGACCTGCGTGCCCTGCGGCGCTCCCAGTAAGCCCCATTTCCCGTCCCCTCCCCGTCCAGCTCTACGTCTTCTCCTCCGTCAGCAAGATGGGCCTGGAGGCCACCGTAGGTGAGTGAGCCTTTGCTGCTCTTCTCTCCTCCACACGCATCTTTGACCCCACAACTTGGGGGACAGAAACCCAGGAGCTTTGGGCTGGTGTAACTGGAGCACATGGTGTGGCTAATAGGCCTGCGTCCCGTGGGGTGAGACCCGGGACTCCTGCCCCCAGGGTGGTAGGCCTGGTGTCGGCAGGTGTGAGTGGTGGGGAGAGCTCGGGGCAGCAGTGGGACCCCAGCCAGCCTGTGAGAGTCAGCCCGGCGCGCTCTTGGGCTGTGGCAAGAGGCCAAGCAGCTGGTGTGCTGAGCCTGGGGACAGGGCAGGCCCTTCCACTAGCCTTCTAGCTGGCCTCTCGGCCCTCACCCAGAGCAGCAGCATTAAGTCAGAGGACCGTTGGACTTCCTGCCAGCAGCACCTGCAAGTTACTCCCTGGCCCTTGGGAGACATGCTGACAAGTCTGCAAGTGGGGCTGGGGGGACGTGGGGTATGTGCAACCCCCTTCAGAGTCACCCAGAAAGCAGTCACCCAGAATGCCCGCTCTCCTGTGCACCAGAGCCCGGCTTGGGAACGTGGGCCTGTGGCAGTTCGGGACAGACCTTGTGGCTCGTGGAGTAGCACATATGTCTCGCGAGTGCACAGCCTTGTGGTGAGAGGACACCCCTAAGACAAAGCTGTCCTGGGCGCAGCCTCGCCTGGCACAGACCCCGCGTGGCCTGGGCTCAGCCTCCAGGGCCTCACTCCTCACACTGCCAGCAGCTGCTGCCCACGGAGAGTGGGACCCCAAGCCCCAGGTCCCCTGAAGAGGAGCCCAGATCTTTAGGGACTTAGCAGATGTACCTCTGGGCAAGGGCAGAGGGGGCCATTCAGCTGCCGGCCTGGAGGCACCCCGGACCAAACAGCCCCTCCCTGCACCCTCTGACACTCGAGGAATGCGTCCCGCAGGTCACTGGGCTGGGCTGGCTCTCCCCAGGGACTCCATTCTCCTCTGAATCCCCCTCTGCTTCCCACAGCCATGCTGCTCCTCAGCGGGGCCCTGGTCAGCGGACCCTACGCGCTCATCACCACCGCCGTCTCCGCTGACCTGGTGAGTGACCCTGCACCCCCTCCACAGAGGAAAACGCCGTGCAGCAGAGCAGGGGTCGATTGCCACCTGTGTGTGAGTGTGCTGCCTGTGCACTAGAGAGTCCCTGCTGCTGGCCCTCTGCCACCCTCTCCCTGGGTCCTGGGCAGGTTGGCCCAAGAGATCCCCCCTTTGGAGCCATGTAAAGCCCCATGAGCTTTTTGCTCCCCAGAGGAGTGGAAGGGCCTGTCCCGATGAGTCAGCAGAGAGAGCAGCGCAGCGGACGGGGAGGCCTGGGCTTGGTCCTCTTCACCCTGTCAGTGTCCCCCCAGGGCCAGCCTGCCCTGGCCACCTCGTGTTGAGTGTGTTGCCGAAGCTGCCCGTGTGAAGCCTGTTCTTGGATGTGCATAGCCGGCAGGCTCACATCTGTGGGTGTGGAAGATTCTGGAAGGATCCACACCAGATCTCCAGCACTGGTCACCCACGCAGGACAGTGGCCGAGGAGGGACCTGGACTGCTTCTCTTAGACCAAAACAGCGGGTGCCTTCCATCCTCCACTGGGTGCACATCCCTCAGCTCCCTTGTGCTTTCTTAGGTGCTGTTCATGTCCGTGGCATGGGGCTCCTGAGCCCTGCTCTTCCTTACTGTCCCCAGTGTGTGCCACATGTGGAGCTGTCAAAAGCCAGATCTCCTGCCTGCCGCCCCATGGGCCTCGCTGGGTCCCAGCTTGGGTCTCCTGACTGTCCTGGTCCCCTCTTCCTGGCCCTCTGCATCGTCACGTTGACTTTAGGCACTGCAGTGACATCTGGCATGTGTCACAGAACAGCCCTGGCTGTGGAGAGTCTGGGTGTCACAGTGATGCTCATGCTAGAGTGGCGCGAGGTGGAGGTGTCCCACGTAGCCATGTGGGGCCTCGTGAAGAGGACACCATGATAGCTGATTAGAAGAGCGCCCTGGGAGTTCTGGGAGTCGGATGCCGTGGCCGGTATTTCCAGGACTCCTGTGTCCTGGAGATCCTGACCTGGTTGGCTTCCCAGGGTTGGCGCAGCCGGGAGCATGGGGGCGTGTATGTGTGTGTGTGTGTGTGTGGTTGGCAGGCCCTGGAGTGCATTCTGCATGTGACTGGGCCAAGGCAACCGGAGCCTCACGTTCCTTTTCCCCTCTTCTAGGGCACTCACAAGAGTCTGAAAGGGAACGCTCACGCCCTGTCCACCGTGACAGCCATCATCGACGGCACCGGGTCTGTAGGTACGCAGCAAGGCCACCCAGAGCCCGTCTTACCTGACAGGTGTTCAGGGTTCCAAGGGCCAATGTCAGGACTGACTGGCTCCTAAAATCTGAGCAGCCCAGGGTGTAAAGAGGGGAGATACAAATCATGCAGTAAAACACTTCTTTCTTGATTCTCTTCAAATGAGGGACACCAGGAGTGGCTAGTGAAGGGAGGTGACGCCTCCTCTGTGAGCGGAGGTGCCCTGTCCCCTCCAACACCCTCTGGGCTGGGTAGGAGAATAAGTCTTGTTCTGATCCCCTTTTGCCACAAGGGAGGAAGGTGAGACCCGCCGGGCTACTCCCTGGCCTGGCTCCTCTGCAGTCACCTGCTCGGAGCCGCCACGCCCACCTTAGCTTGGTTGCCCTTAGTCGGAGGTCTGACGGGGTCTGACTGCAGCCTTGCCAGCCCCTTGGGCCACGCTGCCTGCTGGAGCACACGGGGCCTGGGAAACGGTCACCATGGAGACAGCACGCGCCAGTCCTCCACTGCGTCTCAGTCATTGTCTCTGCCCACGTGCACCACCCGAGAGACAAAGGCAAAGAAAGACCAAGGGAGACACGGAGCCTCGGCAGGCACCCGGCGTGTCCATTAGGCGTGGGCGTCCAGGAGCGCGCGGGGTTGAGGTCATGGCCAAGCTCGCTGGTTGCAATGGGCACCTTCTCACAGTCCAAGGCCAGGACTCTAGTGGCCCAAGTCTATGTGCTTCATGCCCAGTGGGCATAGGGTGTCATGTCCACACCTTTCACACAGAGCAACTGAGTTTGCCTTGCGTTTTCCACTTGATTCTTATCAAAGCAAAGCATAAGGGGACCCGCAGCCCCACCCTCCTGCCCCAGCCTCTGTCCTCCTGCAGAGGAAGGTGGACTTGATCCTGAGCCTGCCGCCTGTCCCTAGGCAGCTCGGTGCTCTCCCCTCCTCCAGCCAGGAGCAGATCACCACCCTCAGCTCGCAGGCTGTGTCCCTCCCTGGCCACACCTGCATTGCTCCCCCACAGGTTCCTTCCCAGGTGTCCCCTCCTCCACGCCACGGCCTTCAGTCCCCTGGTACTGTCCTTCCACGTAGCCACGCGAGGCCCCAGGGCCGCCTGCCGCACCACATGGCCTCCGTGGTCCACGAGCCCCTTTCTCCTCGGCCCTAGATCCCGTTTACTCCGCCGTGGTGGGAATGTCTCCTGGTAGCTTCCTGAGTTCTCAGGAGGCAAATGCTGAAAAGTGACAAGTCCCTGGGGTCAGGACTCGGCTCTCACCGGGTGCAGCTCCGTGTCTCCCAGCTCCACGGTGGTTGGGAAGTCTGCTGTCACTCCTCGCCCAGTCCCCACGCCGGGCCTTCTCCTGGATCCTCGGGGCGCTCCCCTCCCCCTCCCTGCAGCCCTGCCCCCCACGCTGGGGCGCCCGGGGCCCCTCGTGCTGGGGACGCCGGCCCTTCATTTAGGGGCACTGAGCTTGTGGTTCTCTGATAAGTTTCCTGTTGTCTGGGAGGTGAGAAGACCCACTGGCACGAGCAGTGCGTGTTTACCTGGTGGATCTTCTGAGACTTGGCCACAGAGCACACAGTTGCCTCTCAGGTCATAAAGCAGCGTGTGCTTTGTGAACACCAGAAACTGAACCAGTGTCCCGAGGCCTGAGACGAGGGCCACCTGTCCGGGGCCCAGTCTCAGTTGACAGCTGGAGAAAACCCTTCTTCTTCTTCCCACCCTGAGTGCCCCAACTCCAGCCGCGAGGGACACACCAAGCGCTGCTTGACCATCGCGCATAGAAACCCCGGGCACTTTGGAGGATGCCCTTTTCTTTCGCGGTTTTAAAATGTTATTTGGCATAATTTTGTACTTGGAGGAAACTTATAAAAATAGGAGTTCACAGAATTGCAGTGTGTTAGCTTTGCCCCGAGCTTCTCTTGTGTCCACGCACCCACGTGCAGGACACACACTCTCACGCACACAGGCACGTGGCTTTCTAAGGGTGAAGCGCAGACAGTTCCCGATGCCACCTCAGTGCGGTGATCAGAACCAGGAAGTCAACGTTGACCGATTGTTGGTTCCTACAAATCTTATTCAAATTTACCAGTAATATTTTTATAGCATAAGAATATCTAACACTGCGTGTTGGATTCAGATTTCTTTATATAAATAATAATAATGGAAAGGTTGGGTCAAAAGAACGGACATTTGAGGCTGGACACAGTGGCCTAAAATGATCCCAGCACCTCGGGAGGCAGAGGCAGGAGGATCTTGAGTTCAAAGCCAGCCTCAGCAAAAGTGAGGCACTAAGCAACTCAGTGAGACCCTGTCTCTAAATAAAATACAAAATAGGGCTGGGATGGGGCTCAGTGGTCGAGTGCCCCCGAGTTTAGTCCCGGTACCCCCCAAAAAAAGAATGGACATTTAAAATATCAACATCTGTCCTTATAATGGTTCCCGAGGAAGGCAGGCCAGCTCCCCCCATGCTGAGACCATGCTCCTCCTCACTGTGGCCAGTGAGTGGCTGCCGGGCATCCTCCTCGTGTCCCCAGGGCACAGGGTACCAGGTGGCCCCATGCACAGTCTTCCTCCATGTTCATGTCTGCCTCTTCCAGGAGCAGCCCTGGGCCCCCTGCTGGCGGGGCTCATCTCCCCCTCGGGATGGAGCAACGTGTTCTACATGCTGATGTTTGCAGACGCCTGTGCCTTACTGGTGAGTCATCCTCTCTGTGACCCAGGCGGCTTCAGTGAGCTCTCTGTGCTTGTTGGCCAGACACTGGTGGAACTTTCTGTGGATCCCTGCAGTCCTGGGGGCATAGGGGTTATCCTGTCATCACTAAATACACGTGGTCCAAGTTTCTTATCTGGGTAAAGAACTATCAGAATTGGAAATAGGTGAGTCTTCTGCTCTGTAGTTCCAGGCAGGACAGTGTGAAGTCCCAGAGCATGGTGCCCTGTGGCTTTGGATTCTGCCCCAGCCTGTGTGTGATGGTGCAGGTTACTGAACCTCTCTGGGCTACAGCTTCCACATATTAAAATGGGCATGATAAGGCCTGTTGGAACTAAAGTGGACCGTGCCCTAGGACCATGTAGTGCTATGCTAGCCAGCTGTCTGTCACTATCAATACGCCGATTATCAACTTAGAGAAAAGGTCTCTCTGACTCACGGCGTTGGAAGTGTCAGTCTGTGACTGGCTGGCCTGTTGCTTTGGGCCTGGGTCCAGGCAGCACATCATGCGGGGAGCCCTGGGTAGAGCAGACTGCTCACCGCATGGCCAGGATCAAAACAGAGAAGGAGGAGGGCCCCGAGGTCCTCTGTCCCCTTCAAGGGCACATACCCAAGGACCTAAGGACTAACAAGGCCCCACCTCCCAGCACCACCAAGTTGGGACAAAGCCCTCGACACGTGGGCCTGTGGGGACACTCCTGTTCTCCCAGCTTTAACCCCTGAGACTCCAACCTGAACCCCAGACATCTAAGAAAACCGGGTGTCTGCCTTCAGGGTGCTGGCCCAAGGTGGTGGGGCTTACGAGCCCTCAGAACTCTCTTCCCACGTCCCCACCACCCTGGCCACCCAGGACTCCCCTCCTCTCTGGTCTGAGGGCACCTCTGCTCTCTGAGAACAGGGGCCACCAGAAGCAGGACTCCTCTCAGGAACCCGCTTCTGTGTCCAGGGCACTCCAGTTTTGTGGGGCCACCCTGGATTGCGTCAGTCAGGGAAGGGGACTAAATCACACTCAAACGTGAAGGACGCTTGGACACCTGGGCACCCTTCGTCTGGGTCCGTAAAGTGACTTAAGCCCTGGGAGCTCACGGAGGACGGGGGGCTGAGCTGAAGGGCCGAGGAGGCAGCTGCCCTTGGTGGAGGCCTGCTGGGGCCACCAGGCTGAGGCCACTGTGGGCTCCAAGACAAGCTCCTGGTGCTGGCGTCCCCTGAGAGTCACCAGCCCGGTCACCTCAACAGCTCGAGTCACCCCAGTGCCCACGGCTGCAGGTCCTGGTCTCCACTGTGGGTTCCCAATTTGGGCATCTGTGATTGGCTGGTTGTTTTAAACCTGACGTGAACAGGAGTGCGTCCCAGTTTCCCAGAGGACGTAGGACACACAGGACAAGCCTGGGCCAGGTGTGTTGGCCGGCCTGGCCACCACCCTGAAGAGAAGTGTGTCCTGGGCAGGTGCTGGTGGGTGCTGTGCAGGAAGAGCCCAAGCCAGGGGGCCTCAGTGAGGGAGGCCCCAGGTCATGCCCACTGGCCGCTCGTGTCCCCAGGCAGTGACAGGTGGCCTTGTCTTTGTTTTGGGTGCAGTTCCTGATCCGCCTCATACACAAGGAGCTGAGCTGCCCGGGGCTCACAGCAGGGGGCCAAGCTCCGTAAGTCCGTCACCCCCCCATGAAGGTAGCCGGTGTCCTGTCCGTCTGCCCCCCTGACCAGACAGGGAAGGGCTTGCCACTGTCCCTGCGAGGCACATGGCTTTGCTCACATTATCTTCTGTGACGAGTGTGGCCATGCCATGTGACAGTGGCCTCTCCTGCACGTCGAGGAGACGGTGGGGAGCTTCCTCCTTAGTCACCCCGGCGTTTTCTAGCTGCAGTCCCCAGCCTCAGGCTGGCCTCGCCCTCACCCCACCCCTGCCCCTGCCCCTGAGTGAGCTCCTCAGGCCCCCTCCAGCTGGCTCCCTGCAGCCACCTGCCCCTGGGGGCAGAGGGGCTCCTGCGAGGGTTGGTGTGCTCTGTGGGACCCCCCTGTGCAGGGACCCCGTTGGTCTACCTTCTCTTTCAGGCTGAAGGAACACTGACCCCGGAGTCCCGTGGAGGAAGGGCTGAGCCCGTCCCTCACAAACTGTTTGGAGAGACAGCTGAAGGAGGACCCTGCCCCGAGTGGCTCGCCCTTGCCTTTTGCACACGCTCCTGGAAAAGGCCCAAGGGCCGACTTGAGAATTCCTGGTACTAGTCACACAGACGGGCGCTCAGGACAGCAGCGCAGGTCCAGGACGCTGTCCGACTGCCTTAGCTGAGCCCATGGATGGACAGCTCTGGCCGCCCCAGCCCCACAGATGCGCGTCCATCTAGTCCCTTGAATACAGTATGTGACAGCCCCGTGGCACTGACCCACAGCACCTGGCAGCCCTGTCCGTCTCAGGTACCCAGCAGCAGTGTTAAAGTGCACGAGCCCCATGCTGCAGGAGATCCGGCCACCACGTGCCGCGGGTCCCGGAGGACTTGAACGGGCAGGGAAAGGCCGGGCCTGGGACCTCAAGGACACGTCAGCCAGCCCGGAGCCCGCCTCTGCCTGGCATCAGAACCAAGGCAGAACCAAGACCCCTACTACCCAACAGGTTTCTCCATCCCTTCCCAGACTCGGTCCCCACCTGGACACTGATGGTCAGGAAGTGGACAGAGATGGCAATACGCTGCCTAAGGAACCAGCCCCAGGGCACTGTGACCCCTGCCCAGCTCCAGGCATCCTGCTGGTGTCTGCAGCCACGCACTGCTGGTCCCCTGTGATGTCCAGGGCCGGGGCAGAGGCCTGGGAAGGGGCCTGGCTGTGGGCACCAAGAGCCACGGGCGTCTCTGAGCCACTTGACTCGGTCACTTGCACAAACACGGGAGCAGTTTCTAGATCCATAGCAACAGAGGGGATATTTATTTAAAATGTATGATGTCTTATCTGAGGCTAAAGGAATACAAATGGCATTTTGTTATTTATTAAGACAAACTAGTGGCTCTCTGGACATCTGTTTTCTGGGTTGGCTATAGCAACGTCCTTAGCTGCCTTTTGAAATAAAATGGGTTTTTAAAAAAAATCCAAGCAGAATACTCAGGGAATATTGATCATTTCTGCCCGTGTTTCCATCACACTAAAAGAAAACTTCCAAATAGCCTGTGTGGCTTGCATTTTCTCGGGGGTCAGACACGTCCCATAGTTGTGCTGGTCGGCAGGAAGCTGGGGCTGTCCCCTCCAGGAGAGGGCCCTCTTGCTGCCAGGGCCAGCAGACCTGGGCCTCTGGGTGCTCTGTGAGCCTGGCGTTCCCCCCTGACTGTGCCAAGGCGTAGGGCTGGGTGGGTGATGCGCTGGGTTCTGGGTGGAGTGGATTCAGGCTTTCAGACCTCAGGAGCTGGGCCGTCTATGCTCCTGTGGTGCGTGCTGCTCTCTGAGGGTGTGCTGTGTTTTCAAGGTCAGTTCTTGGGCCCCCTCCGTGGCAGCAGGCCAAGGACTCAAGAGCCCCTACCCTGAGCTCTGTGGGCCTAGCAGGGGACACAGGCCTGTCCTGCCGGCCCGCGGCCCTCCCTGGCTGGCTGTGCTTTTTAATAAGTTATTAACACATTTGTGATCTTCTACTGAAAGCAAGATCTCCGCAGACTGGCTAGGTCACAAGTCCCCTGCTCAGGTCCCCAGCCTCTGGCTCTCTCTCCTCAGCCTCCCACGTGCTGAAGACACTGCTTGTCCTTCCCACCCTCACTGCCCACCCCAATAGCGGCCTGCCCTCTGCCCCTGCCAGACGCCACACCTCCGTCCTTCCAGGCGTCCAGTGTGGGTATTAATCTGGATAAAGAAAAGAGCGACTAGCCGTCGAAATGTGTCGATGGGTAGCACAGAGAAAGTCTTCCAAACTGGTAAGGTTCGGCTGTGAGGTGCCCCTCCGAGCTCCGGTGCTAATGTTTGCCGGTGGACAGGCTGTCCCGCGAGAGCTGGACCCTGCCAGGTTGAAGGAACCTGGCCTGGTGTGAAGCCCGGGACCCGCCTTACCCCACGAGAGTGTTCACCTCGGCCCGAGCACTGACGTCCCCACCGTGGCCTGAGACCTTGCAAACCCTGAGTCCAGAGGGGCTTTTCCTCCCCTACGTCCTTCCAGTCGGGCATTTCGGTCACAGTGACAGAAAGCCGAGTCACACCCAGCTGTCTCGCAGCACCACTCTACAGAATGGCCTGAGCCCTCCCCAGTCAGGCGAGGGGGGGTCCCCAGCAGACCCTCCCCAGCTCAGGCCCTCTGTCTGCTCAGCCGCAGGAAGACTTGAGGGGCAGTGGTGTGTCCCCCAGCTCTGTGACCAGAGCGTTGGGTGAAAACCTCACGCAGCCCCTCAGCAGCTCCCCACTCCTGGAGCTTCCTGGCTGAGCCCTGAGGGGAGGCCATTGAAGTGGACAGTGATGTCATATAAAACCTGCCTGCCTTCCTGTCCTGGGCTGGGCCGGGGAGCTCATCCCACCTCACGTGGCCCTGCTCGGCCACCGCCACGTGGACATGCGCGGCGTCCCTAGGACTCCAGTCAAGCTAGCACACAATGCCCTGCCCGCACTGGGACAGGGGGACCCTCCAGCCCCAGGGGAAACCATTGGGAAGCTCCTTAAGAGGAGGCCTGAAGGCTCCCGGGTGCCAAGGCACCTGTGGGCTTTTGTCCTGGCTTGTCCCCAGGATGTCAGGGGAGGCCAGCCCCCCAGCCAGCAGCTTGTAAATCCAATCTAAATAAGTAGCTTCGAAAAATGAACTGGACAACTCAAGCCCTAATTGCTTCTTGTTGGATTCACAGACAGAGCACCAGCTGTATGCGACCTCAGCCGCAGAGCCCAGGGGGGTGCTCTGCAGTCCGTGCCACAGAGTCAGCTGGAGGAGGGGAGTGGGAGCCCGCGTGGGGGCTGTGTGCCTGTGGCCAGGGTTGCCAGGATGGGCAGGGTGACGGCTGCAGGCCGGGGGCTTGGACACTGTGTCCCCTGGGCAGCCTGACCTCTGGGCGCCCGGGGCCATGCCAGGCTGGGGTACACCTGGCTGAGCCAGCAGGCTTCTCTCTCCTGCCACCTCTCCCGGGGACCCTTGCTCAAAAAGACAGGAAAAGTGCTGCCAAGACACTGAAATACACAACTGCCCGTCCGTCCACTCTTGTCTTTCTCCCCCCCTTGTGTTTTATTTGCCAGTCAATCTCTCCATCCCTGGGGCCTCGGAACTCCAAAACATAGCCATCATATCAGGTGCCCAGCTCTGTCCCAAGACAGAGGTCCTGTGCAACTGGGCGGACCCCACCCCCAGGCCACCTCCCTTCCTGCAGCTGCTGCTCAGGGTGCCCTGGGCACCTGGTGGGGCTGGCACAGCAGCCCAGGCTGGGTCAGCACCACCAGGCCCCACAGAGACACCAAGCTTAGTGTGCTGAGCCCTGACCTCTCCCTGCCCTCACTCAGGCCAGAGGGTGACCATGGAACACGGACCTCTGCCGATAAGGCCAACCTGTTTCCTCCCTGGGGGGCCAAGGGTCAGGAGGGCAGCAGTCCCCTCCAGAGGAGGCAGTGGCACACGCAATGCAGGAGCCCAGGTCCCAGGCCCCAGCGACAGTGCCACCAGCCTGGACCGTCCTCTAACCACAGGCACAAAGAGCAAGGTTCAGAAGCCAACGGGCACCTGCTGAGCACCGAACCCCAGGCCCCCGGGCACAGCCACGGGGCTGCACCACCACTCGAGAGAAGGTCACCTGCCCAGAATGCTGCTCCATCAGAACTGAACCAGGACCCTCAAACATCAGATAGAGCTCTAATCTCTAGGGTATACAAAGAACTCAAAAAGTTAAACAACAAAAAAGCAAATAACCCAATCAACAAATGGGCCAAGGACCTGAACAGAAACTTCTCAGAGGAGGATATACCATCAATCAACAAATACATGAAAAAGTGCTCACCATCTCTAGCAATCAGAGAAATGCAAATTAAAACTACTCTAAGATACCATCTCACTCCAATAAGATTGGCAGCCATTATGAAGTCAAACAACAATAAGTGCTGGCGAGGATGTGGGGAAAAGGGCACACTCATACATTGCTAGTGGGACTGCAAATTGGTGCAGCCAATTTGGAAAGCAGTATAGAGATTCCTTGGAAAGCTGGGAATGGAACCACCATTTGACCCAGCTATTCCCCTTCTCGGACTATACCCAAAAGACCTAAAAAGAGCATGCTACAGGGACACAGCCACATCAATGTTTATAGCAGCACAATTCACAATAGCTAGACTGTGGAATCAACCTGGATGCCTTTCAATAGATGAATGGATTAAAAAAATGTAGCTTATACACAATGGAATATTACTCAGCACTAAAAAATAACAAGATCATGGCATTTGCAGGGAAATGGATGGCATTAGAGCAGATAATGCTAAGTGAAGTTAGCCGATCCCTAAAAAACAAATGCCGAATGTCTTCTCTGATATAAGGGGGGTGACTCAAAATGGGATAGAGAGGAAGAGCATGAGAAGAAGACTACCACTAAATAGGGAAGAGAGGTGGGAGGGAAAAGGAGGGAGAAGGGGAGTTCACGGAAGATGGAAGGAGAACCTCATTGTTATACAGAATACATGTTTGATGTTGTGATGAGAAAAAGAAAAAAAAGTGTGTCACATGAGATTGGATAGAGAGAAAGGATGGGAGGGGAGGGGAGGAGTAGGGGGGATAGGAAGGGCAGCAGAATAGAATAGACAACATGATTGCTGTATGCACATTCCATGTATGTATTATATGTCAAAATACACTCTGCTGTCATGTATGACTAAAAAAATAAAAATAAATCGTATGGTTAAAAAAAAAAAAAAGAACTGAACCAGGACCTAAAGGCCAGCCTGAGAGCCTGGGGCCAGCGTCCCCAAGCCCTGATATTGGAAAGAGGGTCCTCAGGCTCCCCAGCCCCCCAGCGTGGGATTCTAGAGCCCAGGGGAAACGCGGCTGCTTCTGTTCACACTCAGTCCTGGTCACAGGGACGTGCGGAGGAGCCCGTCCTCACCACTAGCACGTCTAAAAGGAAACGCGGCTTCAGATGTCTTGTCATCGTGGGAAGGAACCAACTCCGGAGCCTCTGAGGCCTCCCAGAAAACCAGTCTCGGCCAGCGGTCCCCACGTGTCCAGCAAGACAATTGCTGAGCTGTCTGTCCCAGAAGCCCCCAGGCCATGGAGTAAGGGGGACCGGGTTGGGGCCGGCTGTGACCTCTCCTTCCTGTCCCGCCAGCCTTCGCTGCGGCTTTCTCCTCTCACGTCCCCTTCCGCGTCCACTGGCTGTTGGCAGCAAAGCTTAGGCTCCTACAGTGTGTCCCTACACGTCCAGGGGACAGCGTCAGCCCTGCCTTCCAGGGCAGGGGCCATGCCAGCTCGGGTTCTGCCGCGCTGGGCCCCTCGGCAGGCTGCTGGGGGGCGTTTGCAGCCATCTCTGGTAAGGAGGAGACCCTCCCCTCGGCCGGGCCTTGGCTGCACTCGGAGCTCGGGGCATCTCAGCACCTGTGGATGGCACAAGCTGAAGAGCTGCCACCTTGGGGACATCCTGTTGAGACCAGCCAACAGTCCTTCCTGTCCTTCCTGTCCTTCCCACAAGTCCACTGACGGAGAAACCCCTCCCTGGTAACCATGCCACGGTGCAGGGTGGGAAGGTGACTGCCACCCACCCAGAGGACCTGACGCTGCAGTTAGCAACCATCGGGACCTCAGCACATTGGCCAGCGCCCGGGGAGAGGAGGACGGAGCTGGAGAACGGCTCACTCTCACCCTCCATCCTTACATTTGTGCTCCGCTTCCCCTTCCCAGGCCGCAGCGCACTTGACCTGACGCCCTTTCCTCTCTCTGCTCGGATTTTACTTATTGAGGATCTTCGGACAGTGCCGAGCGGCTCCCAGTCACGGACGGCTGCGGCACCTTCCTGTGTGTACAGCGCGGTGGTTTTTTGCCTGGTTCACACTCTGCACAACTGCGGTCTCCTGTGGCTCAGGGTCCCAGGGTCCATTATCAGTTATGTTTGTCCAACAACCTCAAGGGACCTCAGAGGGCACGTGAGAAGCAGGCAGCTTGCTTGGAAGGGCGAGAGCCAGTGCTGCTTGCTGTCTACCTAGTTGCTGAGAACCCAGCCTCGGGAGCCCCTCCTG